TGCTATTGTTCAGACCTCTATGTTCCTTTAGGGCACAAGAGAGCATCTCTGGGTTCAGCAGCCATTCCTCCGTGTTAATGGCATGAGCCAGAGCAGGAGTCCACAACGCTAAGTCATCATTCCAGAAACAGGAATATACATAGCATTAAATGCACTGACCTTGCTGAATGATGTTATTTCATGTCTAGATCCTGGAAGGCGAAGAAAAACCCAGAAGGGAGGTCACATTCATCGTCAAGGAACCTGTCGAGGACCTCAACTCCTACAGCCCAGACATCTCCAATATGTGCAGCGGACTCACAAGCTACACGGCTCATGAAGTTCGGGGTGAGTGTGGGCAAACGAATGATGTCTCTATGCAGGCTTTTGTTTGGTTTTCCTTGGGGAATAACACACATGCTGCTGTTCCAACTGGAGATGGACACAAATCAGTGTCTCCGCAGATCTGGGTTGGAAGAGTGCTGAGCCACAACCTCCATAATGATCTGATCCAAACCCTTGCTACTCCTTTAGTAAAGCTTAAGATGGGTTAAGTTTTGGCTCAGAATTTTGCAGCTTTAATGCCAATGCAGAGAAAAAGGGTGGTCCAAAGAAGTGCTCTCCTTCAGGCTGCTGCTGAGTTTTCCAAGGAATCCCACCAAATCCTTGTGTTTCACAATACTAACCCAGGTTGCTCCATTCTCTGTAGGTTTTTTAAGGTATGGAATGATCCCATTACCTGGGAGTTAACAACTTCATATGATTCTCTGGTAACAAGAAAGAATGACAGGGCCTCATAACCAGCACAACCACATAATGCACTGATAGTATAGGGTGTACCAGTGTCCCTTTGTACTGCAAATCCCAAAGAATAATAAATAGCGTATCTTTGATCATTCCTTTCTTTGGTAAAGATCCAGCTGTGTTTGGTGACTACATTTGGTGGTACATGGAAGGAATTTCTAGTGCAGCAATGAGTAAAAGCATGGCTCAGAGCAATAAAGATACACCGATGTAGAGCTCCAGCTATTGCTATGGAGACCCATCTACATCAGCTGTCTTGCTGTAAGGCCATGACCATATTTTGATCACTTGCAACAGGATTTCTTGTACTGTGGGGAAACAAGAAGTTCTTTTCAATTACATAGGAAGGAACTGAGTTTTACTCCTAGGAGTTAATCCTGGAGCACCAGCAGAGTACTCAGAGCCTTACTGCAAGCTGATTGCAGACCCTGTCATGAGAAAGATGCTCTGCAGATCAGGCCAAGGATGGTGCATTCTGACACAGCAGCATTTCCACCTGCTCACTGCTTGCTTTGCTGCTTGAGATGGGTTAAGTCAACTAAAAATGAGTGCAGTGTGCCAGGTATCAGGGGCTGGCGGTGAGCACCCATCTTCAGTATTAGCACATGGTATTCTGTTTCCTTGTTCTTATAGGACCCCAAGACACGTACAATGAAGGATCTTGCACTACACTTGATGTCATGCGTGCTGTGGAGCTTAAATACTGCCGTGGCTATGACAATGTGTGAAAATCTTGCCTTTCTTGAACCAAGATGCTCGAGAGCTGCTACACAAAACTGACCCCGAAACTGTTCATCCCCGGCATCTCTTCCGAGAGTGTTGTTCTTGATGATTCAGATGCTGAAACAGATCAACTGGTGACCATATCTTTCAATTAAAGGTCTTTAGCATGGGTTAACTCTGGCTACTTTCTCATTTCTATGCCCTTTATCAGCTGTGGGCACACCCAGAAAGCAATACTTTGATTACATCTCTCCACCTCCCTTAGAGGTGGGCAAGTGTCAGCCTATGTACATTACAAATAAGGCATGCAGAGTTCAGACTTTCCCTTTCCAGACTCTTCATTCACATGGCATGAAAGCAGAAAGGGGAACAACACAAGGAATTTGCCTTTTTTAGTGGAAGAGGAGTCTATTTGTAGGATTTAGAGCTGTCCTGTTCCTAGACTCTCAGTTTTTTCCTATGGAAAGACTGTGGCTAGTGGTACTCAGGTACAGGAGTTTTTAGCAAGGCAAGGTCCCTGTTGCTCAAAACTTCAAAGATGATTTCCTCTGTTCCATCAAAATGCTTTGGGTTTTCGAGGTGACTGCAAATCTGTCTGAAAGAAGGATACCAGCCATGCAGCATCCCTCAGCTGCCATTACACTGGTCCCTAGAGGCTTTGTTCTGCAGGACACAGAGTCCACTTAGGCACATCTCGGGGAGAAGCATCTGAATGATGGGTTAGCATCTGAATGTGTGGGTTAGCACACATCAGGCCTAGCAGAGGAGAGAGACAGACAGCAGTTTGTTATGGCTGATCACTTTCCTTTCTGGAATCACCCAAGTTCCTTTAGCTCCTTCCCACACCATCCTCTCCCAGCAGATGGACACGTTGGCTTCACTCTGCTGGGCTGAGAGCTCTGCAGAGCAAATACAGCAGGAGCAGTCTCACTATAGCTCCACCAGCCTGCTCCATCCTCCAGCACTGCAGAAGATGGCTGTAGCCCAGCAGGTGACATTCAATGGCAGAGAGCCGTGCATAGCACGTGGGCACCAAGTCAGCTCTCATACACACTGCTTTGGGGTTTTCAAAAGCCACCTCCACCTGATATACCCCTATGCATTTTGCCCTATAAAAGAAGTGCTGTATTAAAGACAATAGACAATGCTCAATCAAAGGAGACTTTTAAGCATGATTCGGAGAAGATGATTAGGCTGAAGAGGGGGAAGTGTTCCATGTATCACTGCAGTCCAGACTCCAGTTTGGAGCATGTGTCAGTACAATTAAGCCTCTTCCAATGAAAGTCTTCAAGGAGGATCAGAATCAGTTAAGATACAACATCTTGCCTTGTAGATGAATGGTCACCTCCTTCATGATTATAACACTTTGAAAGGGGCAGGTCAGACACTGCAGGTCCAACAGTCCCTGCAGTAACAGGAAAAATAAATCCTTGGTTTTAAATCCCATAGGATTGGGTGAATTGCAGTCAGTAAATCCAAATCCTTCATCCTGCACAGCTCTGCTCCCTCCTGCTGGCATCCGTGCTTATCCTTAGCCTGAAACCCAACCACAGGAGACCCTGCTATTCATTTAAACCAACAGTGCTTCAGCAGTGCTGCTTGCGTGCTCATTGCTCATAGATGCATGTTTCTACATAACCAGTGTTACCTTAGACTGAATTGCTTCAGATACATGCAATTTAAGGTCTCCAGGGTGCTAATTACTGCTCAATATCTACTCAACTGCTAATAATTACTGATAATCACTGTCCAAATATCTGAGCAAATGGAGCAGTTAGAAAGGGCCCTCTGATAACCTGGGCTGAACCTTGCCTGGCTGTAAGTGAACGTAAAAAACCCACTTGCAGAGGTGCTGCAAGGATGCTCCAGCCTTGGCAAAGTGCTTGGGATTGGTTAAAGGCAAACACAAGCAATACACACTCAACACTGAGTAGAGGAGGGAAGGCTTTGAGAAGCGTGTAGCTTTATTACACAGCACTGTGCCTACAGCTCTAACCAAAGCTCATTTACTGCACCCCTTGCTCCTAGGCAGAGATTGAAACCCAAGACCTGGAAAGCAATGCTGTGGCCTTCTTAGGTTATGGTAAAATTATTCCCTACCCCATGTTTTCTCCTGGTTGGTGCATTACAAGCAATGGGTTTTCAACTGTTCACAGACTACTGCTCTTCAGGAGGGAGTTATGTACATACACAGAGTGAAAAAGCTGCTGCAACAAACTGATCACCAGGGGAATAAGGCAGCACAGCTTTACATGCTGCAGCAGGGGGAAGTGAAATCAAAGCAGGGCAGAGTCAGATAGAAGTAAGAGACAAATGAATTTTGGAATTGGGGGTTGGAACTGGATGATTGGGGGTTGGAACTGGGGGATCTTAAGGTCCTTTCCAACCCTAACTATTCTATGATTCTATGAATTCTGGATCCCTTGAAAACTTGGAGCGATCCAGGGAAGGAAAAAAGCTTCCTTGGCCACTGGGTGACAGCCTCGAGTTGTACGTTGTGCAATTGAAGTGGGAACTGAACAGCCAAAGCCTGTTGTCCTACACCGTGTAGATCACAGTAGCTCTGCTGGGTGCATTACACAACCTGAGGATACAGGCAGTGAATTTAAGGACATGTCTACACTGACAATAGGGAAATAGCTCCTGTGCAGTGATAATATGTTTGTGATAATAACACTGGGCACTGCAGGCAATTTGTTACTGCTCGATTACCCATGCAGATGCTGTAACAGCTTCCTGAAGGGCCATGAAAACTAGGGAACAGAAGCCATTACACAGGTCAGACTTTGCGAGGCAAAGGTTGTCCCCCCATCAAAGACACCCAAGTGAGCTCTCACAGAACCTACAGGACACTGTCAGGGCCTACACCTCCCCTGTCAGGCACCCCACAGGTACCCCAAACTGACAGAGCTGCCTTCTGCCATGCTGTGGGTTTCAGAAAAGGTCCCATAGGACACATAGCAGTGAGTAGATGATCATAGAATGGTTTGGGTTGGAAGGGACCTTAAAGCTCATCCAGTTCCAACCTCCTGTCACGGGCAGGGACACCTTCCACTAGAGCAGCTTGCTCTAAACCCAATCCAAGCTGACCTTGACCTATTCATACACTGAGGGCATCAGCTGGAGCTTAACTGTTAACTGCTGTATGCAATCAGATCCCTTATTGCTCACCCCTCCCGGAGCTGTTGGTCCTTTAAATCTCAGATGTTGCCTATGTGAGAAACAAAGCCGTCACCACACACATCCCTGCATGGTCGTTTTTATGCTCGCCCCTAAAGCTGGCCCGTAGGTGATGGTGCGCTCGGGATGCTCAGCCCGAGCTCCCACCACGAGGTGGCATTCTCAGAGCTCTTTTTCCCTCCTGAAAACCAAACCTCCCCATCCTTCCTAATAACAACAATAATCGAGGATGGGGGGGAGAACACCCTCAAACCCTGCCTGTGCTGCCTGGAGCGTGTGACAAAGCCGGGTTTTGCCAGAAGGCTGCTGCTCCTTTTGCACAGCGCTGGTGCCGCTCCGAGGGAGGCTCCAGCCCCTTTAAGTAAAACAAAGTGGAATCCAGCATTGTGCATCTTGAAACCTGAGACCCAGGACCAGGAGTGCGAGGGGGAACAACGGGAAAGCCTCGCCATTCCCGAGGACAACTGCCGCGAGTGGAGCTTTAAGGGATAAAAGACGCTTTTAAGAGGGCGGTGGATGGCTTTTGTGCAGAGACCTGCGAAATAAAGGAGCCCGGGAAGAAGAGAGTTCTTTTTCTCCTCCTCTCTGGATACAATGGCCATTGCAAAGCGAAGCATCTTGAGATCCGGCTTCAAATGGCTCTTCCTTGCAACGTTTATGCTGGCTTGCGATGGACAAGGTGGAAAGCGAGAGAACGGGGGTCCTGCCTGTTACGGGGGATTTGATTTGTACTTCATTCTAGACAAGTAAGTGAGTTCTACTTTGTTTGCAAGGAAATCTTTCTCCTCTGCATGCACTGGGACGGCATATACCGATCCCGAGGGGTTTTCCTTGGATTCGGGCTTGTGGAAGTCACTGTGTCCCCGAGGGACCTGCCAGACTCCCAATTGCTGCTCTGGGCTTTGGGTTTGTTGCTTGGGTCGGTCTGGTTTATAATGCCATTGGACTTTGTTTTCAGTGTTGCTGGGGCTGGTAACGAAGCTTTGTTGAGTGCTTGAAAGAGTGGTTGGGAAAAGGGCAGCTCCATGGTGCCCTCGGGTTTCCCGATGGCCAGAGGAGGTTGAGGCACTCCTGGAAGTGGGTGCTATCGTTGCAGGCGTTACTTCTATAGCTGAAAAGGTGGAGGCAGTGCTCCTGCCTGGAGGTCTGATCCTGTTCCACTTGCTCCCGAGCTCCGTACGCTCTTCCCTAACCTCTAAAGCAGCAACTTTCAGGTAACAACTGGCTCTGAGAGTCGACTTCTTCCCTTTGAAAGGGTCTGGCTTTGGCCATTGTGATGGAAAACAGCCCTATTTAAAGAGACCTTTATTTGCTCTGCTGAGTCACATTCTCTTTGTTTCCTGTTAATCAATTGCATATTCTGACTGTTTAACTGTTTATACCGAAGATAACTTCCTACCTCGCTTTTTTCATCACCGGTTCTGATGGCACCATCTTCTTGGCACTGGCAAGTTTGCCTCTTTACAGGCCTTCACATTCCAGATGGAGCAATATGGAATAGAAATGTGCTGAGCTTTGGAAAGCCAATACAGCAACGGACAAAAAGAAAGACTAGGCCAGTACTAGCTACAGTGATCCTCCTCATTTTCTGGATTAAGAAGAGTTCTTTTTCACCAGGGGATTGGGAATACTGGAGAATGTCTATGCCAGAGCCATGGTACTGACATTATTAACCATGAATTTCAGACACAGGAAAGTAGTTGCAAGCTGCCAAAGCACTCATTCTGATCCTCTGGAGTGTCTTGCAGTAGCTCCCACATTCCCTTAGTATAAAAGACTTGGAATTCCATCACGCTTTGTTACAAAATACTGGGTAAAAAGTCAGACCAAGACAGTGGCTATTGAAACGTGCCGCTTGTCCTAAGGCTTTGAGTCTTATCGCTTTCTTCAGCGGCAAGATCTAACTGCCTAGTGCATTGTGTTGCTTTGGCTGCTCAGCCATTAGTTGGAATACTCCCATTGCTCCACATCAACAAACAAAGCCAGAGCATGGCTCGTCCTTCAAGTGCTGTTTCTCTGGCACTTGAAGCAGGATTGGAGGCTCTCTCACATCTGATGGACGTCTGTGTTACACCTGGGAGCCCATGCAGTTTTAACGGGCACTGGTTTCCAGAGCTGGGCTGTCCTCTTTCTAAAAGCCATCACTTTCTAGCCTTGCTTAAGGGGTTATTTGGGTGGAAATAGGAGGCTTGGCACAAGCTTTAAAGCAGGCAGGCTTACCCCAGTGTATGCATTCAGGTATCCAGCAAACAATCCTGCCTTGAGAATTGCAGGTTTTCCATTTCTGGGATTTTTTTTTTTCTGGTGCAGAAACGAACAGGAACTGATGCAAAAGTTTCCTTGGTCTCTAATGGGATTTGGAGGAGAGTTACAGTGCTTAAGTTACTCATGAGAACAATATGCCACGGGCCTGGCTGTTCAGCCTGTGAGGAGGCTGATGGGGACTTTCTGTGGTGGAATAGGTTATCCCATATCCTTTACCTTTAAACCTCTGTCGTTCCTCAAGGCTCAGCTGAAGTTCTAAACAACCTGAGCACTCTTTAGCCTGGGTTTCGCACCTTCCAGTTGTCTAGAGGCTGATTTCAGAAGTCCTGGATGCAGTGAGGTGATGCCTATAGAGGCCTTCAGGCAAACTATGAAGTAATAGGCTCAGGGCTCACTTTGAAATAGCTCTAAAAGTGACTCAAAACGATTAAAAGTGATAGAGGGCACTGGGGCAGGAGAGACTGAGCTTCCCAGGCATGAAACGCGAGTCTGGGTGGTGGATGAAAGCCATTTAAAGCATTGAGCAACCTACTTGCTGGGATTGAAGGAGTAATAAAAACAACAAACACAGCCCTGGAAGCCACCAGTGCTGGAGCCCTTCTGCCTCATGGATTTAGTGACTCCTCAAGTCCATGTAGTGCCCTGTGCATTTGCTGCTGCAGGATGTGCTCCAGCTGCTGCGCTGGGCTCGGTCCTTGGCCCAGCACTGGCTCTTGAAGCACATCTGGCTGCAGGAAGCTCCCTCAACGTGAACGTGTAACCCATGGGGAAGGGGCACGTGTAATGGGCTGTCCTCATCCAGGGATGCTCTAACTTCCTGCGATGCTCTCCTTAAGCAAACCTGCTGGTCCAAGCAACCTGGGTTTCCTCTGGCTGTCTGCAGGCAGCTGGAGATGGGACTCCCTCCTCAGGGGGGCTGAATCCAATCTCCCATTTCTTATGGTCACGAAGGAGAAGCAAATCCAGGATTCAGCTGTTCAGGAGTAATCCCGTTAAGCTCTGCAGCCTGTGTCAAACACCAGCAGAGCTCGAATGATGCCAGACAGGCTTGTCTGGGGACAGTAGCCTCCTGTGTGCACTTGAATGTCTGTTATCACTTCCAAGAGCTCTCACCCAGCTTAGGAAGCAGCAGAGGAGCTTCTCACACTGTAACCATGGGACCTCAGCCTGGCAGAGTTATGCTCCAGAAGTGATGCAAAGACACCCCAGAGGATGCAGTTTTGCTGAAGGAGCTGTCTTCCTGTGGGTTAAGACTGGATGAATCCATTTCTCTTGTGCTTTGGCTGCAGAAAAAGCAAAGGGAGGTAGGGCTACAACTCAACTGGGTGCTATTTGGAGTGCAGTTGTATGCTATTGAGGTTACACACGGGATCTAGTCCCACAGGGTGCTGAGCATCTCGCAGTGGAGGCTGTACCAAGATGCTGTGGAAGGTGAGGCTGGCTTACCTTGGGAGAATTGCTGAGAGCTGGTCCTAGATGGCACAGCCACAGCCTTTTGTGTTCCTGTGCTGCTGAGGGGCTTCATGCACCGAGGCTCCCATAGACCCACGGTAGCAAAACAGAGGGCAGAAGATGGTGCAGCCTGGATGCAAGATAAGATACGGGCCTTTGTGAAGAAGGAAGAGGCTGATAAAACCCAAACATTTGGGGTTTGCTGACGCTGATATTGCAGAAACATCATCCATGCAAGTCATTAATGAAGATATGACCCAGCCCTGGGTGTCCGTTGCTGTCACCCTCTAACTCAGTGGACCATTTAGAGGCAGCTCCCAGATGAATTTAGCTGCAGGTAGGGAGGAAGGAATAGCAATGAGGATGTGTTCTCAGTAAGCTGTGGCTGTATCCACTCCATGTCAGAGGTGCTCCTTCCTGTGCTCTTGCCTACTGTGGGCATTTATATCCATGTGCAGAAAACTCGCATGTGTGAAGGAAAACTTGGCTCTGAAAGATCCTTGGCCAGATGAAGCGAGTAATCCAAGCTGTTTCCTATGATCCCTTCATTGCTCAGCCAGACAGCTGACCTGGATTTAACCACTTGTATTGAAGTGAAACTCCTGCTCTAGGGAGGCTATTGGTTGGGGTTTGAGTCTAGCTTGCGTAGCTGGAGTTACCAGGACTTAAGTGGGACTAAGTCCAGATTTACACTCGGTGTAGAAGGCCATAGGGGCCAGGGTGGGATGGAGAGCAGACAGACATGGCATCATCAGACATGGAGGCTGACCTGTGTGAACTGCTTCTGGTCCTAGTGACTCTTCCTATGGGAAATGTGAGCCCTCGGCAGAGCTAACCCCAGGACCCTTACAGAGCAGAGTGATATTCCACCTGCTCGAACCTAAAGAAATACAAGCCTTTAGTAGGTAATGGTAAAATCGAGTGTCTGCAGGAATAGACTCAAACTCATTCCTGATCTTCATTGACCCAGTCAGTGATTTCTTGGCTGTTTTCCTGGATTCACAGCCCGATTCCAGAGCAACATTTGCGTTGTGTTTGGATGGTGGCCATTGCAAGCATAGGGAGGCTGAGGGCTCAGGGTGCTAGCAGGGCAGGGTGGAGAAGCCTGCTCATTCTTGTATCTCCTTGCTTGTTGCCTGAAGGAGTGAATGAACTCGCAATGCTGTGGGCAGCAATTGCAAGGAGCTGAGTGACTCTGTGAAATCCCTGCCTGTCAGGACCTGTGGATATGATTTTAGCCAGTGGGGAATCTAAGGTTGGTAAAGGGAAGGGCAGGAGGTGCCTTCCACCCAGGACCACGTGTGTGCCTGCAGCACTCCGCACTGTATCCACTGCTTGAGATGTAAATCCACTCATGGTTACTTGTCCATCAGTTGTGTTTAGATGTGTCCACTGCCAGTCAGTAAGAGAAGAAAGCTCTTGGGCTGCAGCTGGGCTTAGAGGCTCATCCAGCTCTGAACTGCACCTCCCAACCCAGTTTGACAGCATCTCTTAGGAGCCGTTGAGTGTGGCACAGCACAGCAGCATTTCCTCAAAGAATCAAACATCTTTGTGTTGTTTAGTGTCTCTGAATTGCTCCTGAAGTATTTGGAAAGACAAAGAACACTTCTTTGCCTCATTTGTGTTCTTTTTAAAGAGCTCAATAAAAAGATGCTGCAAAACTGCTTGGGTCAATGCCACCTCTGACAGCTCTGAGGCTTCTTGAAGTGAGCCCAAAGCTGTGTGAGTATAAGAAGAACTTGGATCAACATCAGTCTCTGATTTGGGCGTCTTTATGTATCTATATCAGCTGCAGGGCACAGAACTGTTGTGAAGTCTTTGTGGAAGAGTTTGTGGGCTTGATTCTGTTTCCTTCTGGTTTGTGAATTAAAGAAAAGCATGGGGACTCCAAGAAGGTGCAATGAGAGGCTCGGGAATGAGCAGTCTAAACAGTGCAAGACACCGTAAGGAGTTTGGGTTGCTGCAGCTTTGGGTTCTGGAGCATCTTGTCACAGTGAGCAGGAGAAAAGCACCTGCAGGAGGGCAGGGTTTAGTCAGTCTGGAAGCACGGAGCCATGTGGAGTGTCAATCTCAGCCTTGCATGGAGTCGAGATGTGCAAAATGCCAGCACAGTTGACCACAGAACATCTCATTCTCTTGTCAAAGCCATAATGGTTTACTTAGTCTTAATTTCCATTTACTGGGTTTTTCTCCAGCAGGAGAATTTGGCATCCTCATGATGAGCCTCTTCTTACATTGCACGTTTCTAGCATCAAGCATTCAGCTGCAAAGTGCTGGCTCGCTGATCATCGTGTTCCTCTCTGGGAATATGAAGAGATAATGATTTTAAATTTGGCTTTTATTATCTTAGAGTTAGGCTTTAGAAATCCTTGTCCCACTCTGAGCTCTTGGCCTGCTTTAAGAGAGGCTTTACAAGCGACGAGTGTCTTCTATCGCAGGGCTTCTGAGTAACACAGTGAGTAACTGAGCCAATGGTGCTTTTGTGAACTCTCTGCTGACTGCAGGAAGGTTAGTTGTATTGCTTCTATCTATTTTAGGTCAAGTGAAGACTTTAAAAAGCCTGCAGTGTGTTTCAGAAGATGCTTTATGTATTGGGGGAGTATTTTTTCTAAATGCAGACCTGGGCATTTATAGCCATACCCTTGGGCTTGACTAGATGGCTGCAGGTAGACTGAAAGTTATAGATGGAAACCTTGCTGTGCTAGAAGGAGTTGTTATGGTCAGCAAAGTGGGAGCCTTCATTTTGGGCCCCTTCTATAGCTTGTTCTGGTAGAGGTGAGGAGCAAATGGGTTGTAGACTATTCCAATTGTCCCACTTCAGTGCCTTTGGAACTGAAAGCAGGAATCATCCTCCTTTTGTGGGGTAGAGAGGGTGTGTTTTGATGATGGTAGCAATGGTTATATCAGTCCTTCAAATAGGTGCTCACCATTCTTGAACTTCAGGTTGTTCCTTTTATGTGCCAAGAGGTGTTTGGGAAGGTTCCATGGAAAAAGAGCTGTAACTTCAGATAGGGGGAGTTTTGATCCAGAGGGCATAAAGATGGGACTGTTGATGGGAAACCAGGGTGAGGATGCTGGAGGGGAAGGAGGTGCAGCAGGAGATGAAGCTTACTGTGTGAAGAACTAAAAGCACTGCTTACCCAGCCACTGAAGCCCAGCAGAGCAACAGTTACAGAGACAAACACTTGAGGAGGATGTGCTATTGACGTGTTGACTGGCACAGCCCTGAACTGAGCTCTTGGGTTCAGCTTTATCCTGGCAAATGCTGGTTTCTGACTTCCCAGAGCCATGGAAAACGACAGGGTTTTATGTGACAACCCACATACTTGATGCCTGCATCTCATTCCAGCTGCCCTGCTGCAATAGTCATTCTATGGGATGATCAACTTCAGTTCAAAGGGGAAGAAATAACCATCCTTTTAAAGGCTGATGGAGCTTCTAGGGCAGTGTCTGGTTGCAAGGAGGGGTCAGCCGCAGGGGCTGAAAGCTGAGTTTCCCCACAGCATGAAGTGTAGTGTGGTTGTCCTACCTGCTGGCTGGAAGGGTGGTTTGGGTATACTTGTGAAAGGGTCTCGGTTCCACGTGTCTGATAAAGGATGGTTCGGAAGATGTGTGAAACCTCAATGAGGTGTTCTTTTATGAGAGGCAGATATACGGTCCAAAGCAACGTACACGTTTCATTGGAGGAGGTAGTAACTGGTTTATGGTTAGTAAAGCCTTGGCTTCATGTGTCTTCTGGAGACCTATGTAACCACTGCTATAAAGCCATAGAATCATAGCACAGCCTGAATCTCCCTCTTTAGTTTAAAACCATCCCCCCTCCTCCTGTCACAACAGGCCCTGCTGAAAGTCTCTCCCCGTCTTTCTTATAGGTTCCTTTTAAGAACTGAAAGGCCACAACAAGTGTTTCCCTTTATGCCTCACCATGTAATGACAATAAATACTTACTTCCCAGGTCAGTTCTCAGACCTGTTTGGGCTATGTGGCGTTGGTGGGACTGCAGTGCCTGTCTCAGAGTTATTCCATACACCTGAGAGGGACTTGCACCTGGGGCTGAGCTCTGTGTGTCTCTGATCTCTCAGGTTGGGTGCAGTGGGAGTTAGTTTTGTGTTTGAGAGCAAGTCCCTTTCATCTGTTACAAGAGCCCAGTTTTCCCACTGTCTGTGTGGTTTAAAGAGTTTATCAAGGCTCAGTGTTGCTTTGGTCCTCCCTGATACACGTTTGTATAGAGAACAAGTAATGATTTCAAGTCCTGGTCTGATGAAAGGAAGGAGAGCCAAGAAGCAATGCAGCACTGTTAACCTTTGTCTATGAACAGGTCTCCTCTGCAATCTGTCCCTTGCAGTCACAGGAGTGCCTCTGAGGTTAAAGAGGTGCATTTGCTATGAGTCCTTTGTGCAGTGAGTGATGGAGAGTTCATTGTTCTCCCAGATGGACCATGTGCTTTGGTACCTGTGCAAGGGCCCCCATTGCATGTCACTGGAGGTTGTCTTTGCACATATTTGGGTCATATAGAGAAAGAAGAGCTTAAGGTACCATGGGCTGAGGTTTGCACTGAAAGACTGCAAATGGGGAGAATAACATCTCAAATGCTCATCTCTTCTTCCTCAGGCTGCAGTTCAATGGGTTTCTGTCAGAGCTTTGGTGGTTATTTCCTTATAAACGTTGTTAGTTGTATGCAATGAATTAAAAAAGTGATGACACATTGATTTCCCAGCTCCAGGAAGGTTTTTTTTCCCCCCCAGTATTAATATTGGGTGTTCACAAAAGTGTTGATGCCAGAAGGGGCATTTAGTGCTGAAAGATTCTAATTAACCTGATTCTCTCCTGGTTCTTACAACATAAAGAACAATCCAATCCCATTGTGGTCCATGGCTTGTCCTCCTTTAGCTGAGGGGTGCAAGGATTAGATACAGCAGTTGAGATGTGGTTGAAGGTGTTTCACTTTCCCTGCTCTCCAGCCCAGTGGAAGCACTAGAGAAGGTTCCTAAACTGTTCTTCCAACTTCATTTGGTCTCTAAATACACTTGAGCTAAAAGCTGTGTGTAATGGGGGCCTATAGGGATGCTGGGGAGGGACTCATCGTTAGGGACTGTAGGGATAGGACAAGGGGTAATGGGTTAAAACTGAAACAGGGGAAGTTTAGGTTGGATCTAAGGAAGAAGTTCTTTATTGTAAGGGTGGTGAGGCACTGGAATGGGTTGCCCAGGGAGGTTGTGAATGCTCCATCCCTGGCAGTGTTCAAGGCCAGGTTGGACAGAGCCTTGGGTGAGATGGTTTAGTGTGAGACATCCTTGCCCATGGCAGGGGGTTGGAACTGGATGATCTTAAGGTCCTTTCCAACCCAAACCATTCTGTGACTCTATGAATGGTGTGAGATGGTGGAGTTAATCTAAACCACAGCGGAGAGAGCCAGGTCTTCACTCACATAGGCTTTGTGAGCTTAAGGTCATGCTAAAGGTCTGTGCAACTGCTGTGTGTTATTGTCAAGTGTAGCCCCAACCACTTGCCCCAATGGGAATCATTCTGCTCTTCAAAGCTAAGCCTGAAATGGCATTGCCAGTTTGAGATCTCTCTAAAGGCACGACATGGACAGTGTTAAACAAGACAACAACTGCCTCGCTGGGCAATGTGCAAGGAGCCATCAGGCAGTAGCAGCCGTTACACTGATATCTCCTGTCCTCTTTCCCCAGGTCGGGAAGTGTCCTGCACCACTGGAATGAAATCTATCATTTCGTGGAGCATTTGGCCCGCAAGTTCATCAGGTAAGAAGTGGGGCCATGCTCTTATCGTGGATAGCACCAGGGAACACAGAGGAGCTCCTCTTGCTTCCTCACTGACTGCATTCACACAGAAATAAGAGCAGATAAGCCAGTTGTTCCCATTTTCCCTGCCTGACTCCCATGGATCAGATGATGGGGATGGAATCCTCTTGGCTGGCTACAACCCGAGTACAGCAGCCTGGGTCTGCAGGGACAGGCGTGAGGCTATAGCTTTCAGGCACTGAATGACTTGAGGCTGGATGAGAAATCCAGTGGGTGGGATGTGTTGTGGTAAACACCATCAGCCTGCTTTTGTCTCCATGGTGACCCCGGGATGTGCTGGAGCTTTTCTTGCTTCAGCAAGCGTGATGCAAGAGCTATTTACATCTTCCTGATGGTTTGCCTTGACTAGGAAGGCCCAGGGCAAAGCATCTTTCACCCTGTTGAACGAGTCTTGATAGCCCTCAGAGCATCCTGCGTGTTTGGTGTTAAGCTCTGGGCCTTCAAAATAACTCTCCTTTTCCTCTCCTTCTCCAGCCCTCAGCTGAGGATGTCCTTCATTGTGTTTTCAACGAGAGGGACCATTCTAATGAGGTTAACAGAAGACAGGTAAGAAGAGGTTTAAGGCGCACAGCAGCTTTTCTGTCCTTGTAGCTTCCTTCCCTTTCCTTGCTCAGTGATTTCCAGGGCTGTGAGCAGTGTTGGGACACCTTTGTGCCTCTCAGTTTCATAGTCTGAATCACCAGCCCATTTTCCCATGACAGAGGGCCTAAGGTATGTTATAGACAGCCGTGCTCAGGTTACATTGCAAGGGTGGATAGTTTTGGCAGTGACAGTTTGAGTGCCATATTCCTGAAGCATGTAGATCCCCAAGTTAATCCCAGTAAAACCTATGGGATGGGTTTTCTTTCTTCTCTGACTTCAAGGAGAGCTGCATGAGCTCCTTTAATCACTCCTGCTTCCTCTGCTAACTTCATTGCCACGTGGAGCAAGAATATATGGAACACATGTGAAGACTCTCTAAGCCAGCATGTGTTCTATATATTGGATGTCTAGGAAATGGCATACCAGAGCAGCTGCTATAGAGGAATGAAGAAGGAGCTGGCAGCCTTCCTAAAGAGCAGTCCACATACATACCAGCCTTGAATATGTCATTAAAGCCAGGCAGCCCAAGCAGCTCCTGCCACTTACTGCAACTCAAAGTGTAAAGAGAATGACCCTTGTCTAACTTGATGCCAAAGGAAAAGCAGTTCTCTGCTTCTTCCTGCTCAGTGCAAGGGTCTCTGGTGTGTTCAGGCTGGAAGTGATGACACTGAAGCGTTTCCCATGTGGAAATGTATTTCATATTCATCCAGAAATGCTGATGGGAACAGGATATTGGTATGCTATTAGTCTAAAAGCGATTGACTGCAGAGCTGCTGGGTTTTACTGGGGGACTGACAAACAAGGTGTGGGCTTCGTGCTGGTCCTTTAGTTAACGTGGGCCTTTCTGAAGCAGGAAGCTGGAGTAGTGGCAAGCAGCAGTAGTGGCATCTGAATGTGGAGACTGAGGGTGCTCAGCATCCCTTGGGAAAACCTCAGTGCATCTCTTGGCATTGCAGTGATGTATCTTAAAGGTCTTTGCTGGGTGTTTTGCAGAAGAGTTCTGATGGCAAGAAGTGCTCTGGATTCTATGTTCATCTTTGGCTGGGTATGTGCATAGGTAGCTGAACAGAGGAAATATTGCCCCTACACACCTTTAATACACAGCTCGGGGTCTGGCTAGTTTGAGATATCACAGGTACAGAATAGGTTCCTGATAGCTCGATAACCCATTGCAACCAGATACTCTTTCCCCTGTGGGAGTTACTGCTCTATAGAGTGGATAATGTCAATGAGCTGCTGCAGTCAGCCTCACAAACATGAGAGGGAGAACGTGAACACACAGATTGGGTTTGCTGGAGTAGTTAAATTCGGGGACAAAACTGGCTTCTGGCATTCAGTGCTGCAGCATCAGTGGTCCTCCAAGCACTGACTTAACCCATTGCCCATGAAGCTTGTATAGTTTGCTCAGAACCCTTTATCTTAGTATTAAAGACGTGTGGCGTGTTCTTTGCTTCAGAGTTTGATGTCTGCAACTCAGTGGACCAGCAAATGGGTGCCCACCCCATTGAGCCTGCAATTACATGTCATTTTCCTGGCAATCCTAAAGAAATGAAAGCATTCCCTGGATCGTAATAAACTACTGGGAAAGGCTTTAATTCTTCAGCTTGGTCTGAGCAGGGGCTGAAGGTGTGATATTCAAATAAACCAGAGTTGGAGGCTGGTTTGGGGTTGGTGGCATTTGTATAGTCGGGAAGTGTGAGGGAAGGGAGCCATGAGCAAGTCTTGTGCTCCAGAGGCTTGTCCAGAGTGACATAGGGAATATTAGAAAGAAATGCATGGAACCTGACCTTGGGGATGCTGTGGGAGCCCTGGGAGCACCACTGCTGTTTTCCACCTCCTTAGGAAGGCATCTACTGAGACATTACCTTAGCCTGGATAACTGGATAAGCACTGAGCTAACTCCTTTTCCCCCCTCTCTGTACCCGGCTCTGCCATGCATGCCTCCTGTGCCTGGATCCCAGCTCCTGATACGTGTGATCTGCCTTCATTCCAGGGAACAGATCCGCCAAGGGCTGGAAGAGCTGCAGAAAGTCCTCCCGGGAGGCGACACGTACATGCATGAGGGATTTGAAAGGGTAACCACATGCATGCCCAGTGCCTCTCAGCTGTGTCCGGGTGCTCCTTGGGATCTGGTTAATGGTCCTCTGGGAGGGGAGTGGGGCTGTTCCCCTTTCCTAGGTACAGCAGGTACACTGAAGTGTTGGCATTCAGGGCTGGAACTGGCACAAGGGATCTGCAAACCCTGCTCCTTAGCTTCTCTTATTGCCTCCATCCTTTATGGGGAAGCTGCCTTTTCAGAAGGCTTTGGCATTGCAGTCCCTACAGAACCATGGTCAGGAGGAGTGGAAAGTCTGGAGTCCTGCATGGGGGCTGTTAGTAGGCTTCATAGAGCTGGGTGAGGGCTAAGGCCATGGTTCTAACTTGGTGGCCAAGTAATGCTGCACAGAAGTGACTGCCTGTTCTTACCTTCTCCTTCAGAGTCATTTAACAAGCTCAGAGTTTATTTAAACCTGAGCTCCTGGCCCCCATCTCCCACTCCACTACATATGGGAGGACTGGGGAACTGGCTGCCTATTGGAAGGACACAACAAAGTCAACTGATCTGACAGAGATGCTGGCTCCCAACCAGGGGTCCAAAACCCAACCCCAGAGCTTGGTGACTTCAGAAACTCTCCAGGAGGAGTCCAAAAAGAGAAAGAGATTTAAATTCTGAGTAGTCATGAAATCCCTAAGCCAGGAATGTTCAGAGTGAACCACTGTGATTTAGAACTGATGCACACTGAAGCGTTTGCCCTTCTACCATGTGCAGTGCCCTTGTGCATAGACCAAATGACATATCGTAGACAATATCTTTCTGAGGTTGGTTTGTTTGCAATCAGAGGAGTTGAATCTAGAGCTGCTGGGGAATATTTGGACCTAGGATGCTTCCTAAGGAGGGAGGTGAATGGGATTTTCCCATAGCAGAATAGCAGGAGACTGTATTATTGTTGGCCAAGGGCCTTAGGGTTGGTTTGACTATAGGCAAGAAACTTGCTCTGTGAAGCAGCTACCTCTGAAAGCAGAGGCTATGTGCAGGCCTGGCATCCTCACTGCCATCTTCTCCTTCTTTCTGGTGCATGTGTGCCCACAAAGTATTATCATTCCTTTATTGCTAATAATATTCTGATTTAATTTCAGGCAAGTGAACAGATTTACTATGAAAATGTTCATGGTGAGAGACTTTCTTGATACATTGATTATTGTTTTTTCTCTTTCTGACTGATGAATACAGTTGAAATGCAGCTTTACTGTGGGAGAGGTGGGGGTGGCTCCTGTTCCTACAGGAATATTGCTATTTAAGGTAGTTGTTCCTGAAAAGGAACAGTTGGAGCTTTAAGGATCCAGAGCTGGAATGAATGTGTGTCAGGCCAAAAGCAAGAAGCCAGCTAAGTGAAGGTACCTATTCTTACCCAGTATGGTACTTTATGTTGCTCTTTGTGCTTGAGGACTCAGGTAACCATTTCTTCTTCCTTCTGAAACGTGAGTTTGGGGAGATGCTGGCAGGTAAAAGTGGTTTTGTTATGAGCAGTTATGAAACCCAGTTTGAAGTGCAGACAACTGCAGAAAGGTTTGGTCTGTCCTTCCTTGCAATTAACAGAGAAAGCCTGAACTAGAGCTACAAAGGTTTCTTCTTGGAAAGCAAAAGGTAGGCAAGCAGATGGTTCAGTACAAAGCCAGTGCTAAGGGTTTTGCAGGGCCATTCAGGAATCAGATGCAGTAGAGACTAAGTCCACAGAGCTTTGGGACTCACCTGACTGCAGCAGGATGGAATAGGTAGCTCAAACAATTCGATTTGGGGTTGATAATGCTTTTAAATGCTGACGTATAGAGTACAAGTAAACAGATGGCCATTATATGCAAGAAGCAGTGGACAACTGGGTCCTCAAGGCTGAATGCTGGCCTGTGTATTTGTCCTTGCTTCACTCTAAGAAGTGTTTCTATCACCTGCAGTGGGTCCAGAGGCTCCTGCAGTAGTCAGTGGATGGAGAAAGGCACCTCTGGAGGCCAGAAGTTGGCACAAGAAGTGCTTGATTTCCTGTTTCCTACAGAAAGAGCCTGACACTTGACCCTATGTGTTGCTCATTGCTTGTCAAGTGCTCAACTTCCCATTGCTTCATTACCACCTTATTTATCATTGGGGATTTCTAAGTAGCCCCAGGACAAGTAGGGATCAGATCTCTGCTCCCAGCTCCTTGTTGGGATGTTTCATCTCTTCAGCAACAGTTTGTAAAGGCACAGGAAAACCGCAGAGATGGTTTCAGGGGTGTAAAGGTTGATGATTTACACACCTGGATGCGTTCAGCCTTTACCTTTCCATGGCAGTGTTTGTGCAGAGGTACCTACAGAGCTCCCTCCGATCCGTAGCAGGACTGTTGTCAGAAATGGAACTGATTCTGGTGTAACCTAACACACCTTGAAAACCCCAAGCTGTAATCAGTGCAAAAGGGAGGCTGCAAGGTTTTGCTGCTGAAATCAGTTGCATAGGAGTGTTGAGGATTTTAGGCCATTTTCCCATTTATCTGTTAAAATCCCGAGTCAGCTTTTTATCACAAGCTGAAAAAAACATCATCTCTGGATTTATTGAATTGACAGCATCGATAAAATCAGGGAATAACTAGGAACGCTTTGCATTGGGGTTTGATGGCTGCAGTCTAATCTACTGGTCTGCAAGAGTGCAATAGTTACGAGGGTGTCAATTAAAACTCATTGACACATCAAAGGAGGGCGGTATAAAACTGATACTGAAGGCAGGTGAGTGAAAGAGCATGCAGCAATTCATGGCTAGTAAGGACATGGGCTTGGTGGCCACTTGGTGGCCCTTTCAGTGCACTAGGAAGTCACTAGCAGGATGCTTTCTATGGTAGCGTAACAAATACTACTCAAACCCAAGGGGCTAAGGAAGTTTGTGTCTTTAGGTTACAGAACTGCAAGTGTCATCATTGCACTGACAGATGGAGAGCTCCATGAAGACCTGTTTTTCTACTCTGAGAGGGAGGTAAGTGTCTTACGTGTTCTTAGCCAGAGCAATGTCTGGGCTTGCTGCTTGGAAGGCAGAAATGAAGGGAAACCTTTTCTCTAGTGCCACAACTTCACCTCGGTGCTCCTTAGATGGGAATGTTGCATTCGGTTTGGAGAGGAGCAGTCAGGGAGCAGAATGCAGATCCCGATCTTGGCTCTTACACTGGGAGTTGCTTTAGTTCTTTGGGTTTAAGCTGCTCAGTGTAAAACTGGAATGATGCTTTTCTCATAGAGCACTTTGCTGTTGAACAACTTGAACTACTACGGTGTTCTGATGTAATGTGACTCGCTGCCATCGCTCCTGGGACTGGGGTTTTGGTGTAAGTGCCCCTGTTCTAATGAAATGTGATTAAACCACTTCATACTCATGCAGGCAAGGGCGTTCACAACAGTTGCTTTCTGAATGGTAAATGCACCTTCACCTGCCTAGCAATGAAATAGCCTAGCTTGCTCTTCTTTTCGCAACTACATGATGCAGACCTGTCGGAAACCTGCTCCCATCCCATTTGCATCCGGATCATCCTCCTTTCCTTGTTTCAGGCTAACCGCTCGCGCGACCTGGGAGCAACAGTGTATTGCGTCGGTGTGAAAGACTTCAACGAGACCCAGGTAAATGATGCCTCCTGTTCCCTGCAGAGCTGCGTGTTGAACACATCCAGTGCTCCTCAAATGGTCTCTTGGTCGGGTTGTTGGGTTTAAGCCCCTTTCTCTCTCTATATCCCTATGTGGAGGACTGTCCCTCTGCATGTCACTGTGACTCTTCCTAACAGTGAGAAAAGCAGAGGTAAAGACAATCAGAGAGCAGCAAATCAGCCTGGCTGCGGCTGTAGGCAGGAGGAGGTCGTGAGGACTGTTTTTTCCCCATCAACTTGAGATGTTGCCGTAGGACGCTTCAGTTCCAGTCCAGCTTTTCTTCCCTGGGAAAACTATGCTATAAAAAGCAAGCAGCTTTATTAGTGACATCAAGACTTTAGTGGTTTCCTATTTGGTAGCCTGACTTCTCAATTTACCGTATGAATGTTGGTGTGTCCATGAATTGTGTTCACACCAAGTGTAACGGTTGCCATTGTTTTTCTAGCTTGAGTGGGACACTTGTACAGCCCCTAAGTGCTGGAATAGTTCCGGAATAGAGCTCTTCCAGGCTCACAGCGGTTCAAGGAGGAGTCAAACCAAATCTGGTTTAGAACAACCTCCTTTGAATCAAAACCAGGGTAAGCCATAGAAAAGCAAAGAGGGAATAAAAAGGGCAAAGAGACTGGATCTGAAGAGCAGACCTCAAAGCCATTTCGGTGCTGAAGAAACCAACTGGAATTAGATGGCACTGCCTGAATTGCCCAAGAAGAAAGACTATGGGGAATGAGCTGAGGAACCTGCAAACATCCTGCTTTACAGAAGCTGCTGTATCCCAGCCACAGCAAAGCTGCAGGGGAAGGCTGCCTGGAGCATTCCTCTGGATGCAAAACCAGGAGCTGGCACTTTGGTGCTTTGCTTGAGAAGAGGGAGCCAGAGGGATTGATGGAGGAATGTGTGGCTGCCTCCCCTTTGCAGCGCACAGGAAACGCCAGGAGCCTGCTGGGTTGCTGTTACCTCTGCCATGGGAGAGAATTACTATAACAAACCCTGGCCTGGCAGGTCCAGACCTTGGTTCTGCTCCAGCAGATGCATGGAGACCTCATTACTTCTCTTTCTGCTTAACCCTTAGCATGCTGCTCACAAGTGAACCTGCATGTAGCTCTTCACTGCTAATGTCCTGGCTCTCCTCATCTTACCACCCCTTCCTTGTCGTGTAGGTTTCCAGATGCTCTTTTGCTACCTTCTTCCCTCCACTTGGAAAATACCTTCTGTTAGGTCCCTGCTCTCTTCTTCTTGGCTCTGATGGTTGCCCCTTGACAAACAGTCAAATCTGTCCTGGCAGGAAAGGTGAACCAGGCCTCTATCTCCAGATAGGGTATGGTTTGCATTAGTCTTCTCTTTATGGGAAAACACTGAGCCATTTTGCTCAGTTCCCTGGTTTAAATGGTGTGTGCTGAAGTGTTTGCTGCAGTAGTGGCCTGTCAGGTTGATGCTGGGGCTGTTCTGGTTGGGGAGTCACTGTGCTGGCTGGTGGCAGTCAGGTGGGAGATGGGTTTTGCACTAAAGACCATTAGGCTCTGGGTATTGGTAAAACCCACTTTGTTTGTCTTCAGAGCTAAGAGAAGCCTTTTCTGATGCCTGATACAGAGCTTTCTAAACTCAATCAGGCTAAAGAGAAGCTTTTCAATGCCTGACAAAGCTACAACACACCAGCACAGACACCTGGGGTATTTGGGGTTTTGCCTTGCCAGTGGCTGGGTCTGGAGAGGCCTCACTTTGCTGCCTGCTGGCTCATTCACCTCATTCTTTGCATTTCTCTTTGATTCCCTTTCCCCACCGTGTCAGCTGGCCAGAATTGCCGACAGCAGAGACCACGTCTTCCCAGTGAACGATGGCTTCGAAGCCCTTCAGGGCATCATAGACTCTGTAAGTATTTGAGCTCCTGTATCTGCATGTTAGTCTGGCTTGCATAGTTAAGGGTTTAGCTTTCCCATGTTCACAAGGACTTGCTGACTGCTAGTAAATCACTTACACATGCCAAAGAAACTCAGCTTTATCTGTGTTAATATTGCTGCTTCCAGGTCGAGTTTATCAATAGGTCCCAGTAAAGGGACCTCTGAGCCCAAATGTTATCTTTGTGGGCAGTAACTGACTGAATGGGCTTAGGCACAAGGGGACAGATCATCAAATAGCTGCACAGCCCAGGACAGCAGGGCTCTGTTAGAGCACCTTCTGTATGAAGGATGAGAGCACTCTTTGGTTTTCCTGCTCGGACAGCATCCTTCTGTCCCGATGGTTGTGCTGCATTGCTCATCTCCTGAGCCAAAATCCCCCAAACTCTGCTTTCTACTCTCAGCCTCCTGACAAATGGGTGTTAACGGCAGGGGGTTGGAACTAGGTGAGCTTTAAGATCACTTCCAACCCAACCCATTCTAGGATTCCATGATTGCCGCAAGCTGAAAACAACAGGAAGAACTGAAGTGATATTCTATGATTCTATGATTTATGAAATATTGCTTTGCCATGAAAACCAGATATGTATAATGGGATAACCTGTGAGCATTTGATAGATGAAGCATAAGAAACGTGGGGATGCTTTTCTGTGCTCATCCTGAGTGAGCTGCTCAGACCTGGTCACCATTCCCAGCCCTGCCAAGGCCACCACTGACCCATGGCACTGAGGATGTGTGAACACTTGCAGGGACGGTGACTCCAGCCCTGCCCTGGGCAGCCTGTTCCAATGCCTGAGCACCCTCTGGGGCAGGAATTGCTCCTCAGCTCCATCTAAACCTGCCCTGGGGCAGCTTGAGGCCGTTTCCTCTTGTCCCATCCCTTGCTCCTTGGGAGCAGAGCCCAGCCCCTCCTGGCTCCATCCTCCTGTCAGGCAGTTGGGAAAGTCAAGGGGAAGGGATGTGGGGCCTGGGCACCTGAAGAGCAAGTCACCAGCTCCAGCCTCTTCCCTTGGGTAGCTGCCTTACCCATCTCAAGCACAGGATGAACCCCAGGCTTAACCCTATATTGTTTCTCATTACTTTTAGCAGCTTATGATCGCGCCTTCTACTTCTTCCTTACCTTAAATGCATCTTTAAAAAGGACTTAAATAGATTTATCTTGCTGAGCTCATGCAGATATCATTGGGCAGGAAACACTTCATAAACAATTCCTGTTTGTAACTGGTAAGAGCCATGGTTATGTAGTAATTAACCAGATGTGATAATGAGTACCCAGCCTCAGCCTGCAGGTCACTCACACTAACAGTGATGGGGCAGTGACCTTCTATTGAACTTCAGCATCCTGTCGGCTAACCAGAATTCCCAAATTTGGTGGAAAAAACCTTTACAAGAAATATGCAGCTGCTGTGTGAGCTTATTGTCTGCCTGCTTGTGGAGCAGAATTCCAGATGGGAGCTTCCAGCATCCAGGAGATGGGTTTGGGAATCTGAGCTCCTCACTAAGCATGCACTGCTCAGGACAGTGGGATGCTTCCTCACCATGGGTGATGCCTTTCTTGCCTGGGTGCCAAAGCAAGCTGCAATTACTTCCTGAGTGAATCAGAGCTGTTGTGGCTCTCCCTATGGAAGTGAGGATACGGAGTCTGCTCTCCCTTGTGTCCCCTTGGAGTAGTGCTCAGCTGAGGGACTGCATCCCCACTCCTGCATGTCATTTCCCTTTCCTGGGGAGCCAGGCTATAGTGAATGAAGTGCATCTTTAGCCCACACAAGGCTGTGTAGCCCCTAGGAAACAGGAGAAGGGATGAAATCCTCCTTGCTGAATGCATTGAAGTCCTTTCTGAATGTGTTTGTGATGAGGAAGAGACATGAAGGAATTCTTGTGCAATAACCACCGTTGCCTGATTTTCACCTTAGGCTGGGTGCTCCAATGGTTGGAGCATTGGAAGCTTATTCTAAAGCAAAGTACATATTGCAGTGAGCACTGTAAAAAGCTTTTTTATAGTCGTGGAAATGGATTGGGTTGGGCTGGAAGGGAGCTCTGCACCATCATAGCCACCTGCTATTGCACCCTGTGTCCAAGCTGACTTACAGCATATGTGTGTGCAAAGGGTTGAGTGCAAGCCATGAATTTCAAGCTCAATCATGTCAGGTTTTGCTTGATTGTTCAAAGAATGGATGTATTGATGGTATTTTTCATGCATTTGTTCTCATTTGTCTGCTTCTCTCCCATTTCATTGTGACATGAAGGAGAAGAAATCATTATTAACATGTTTGTGGGTGCTGAGGAAGAGGGGAAGGGAATCTAAGGGAGAATTGGGGGAAATGTGAAAAGCTTCTCTTCTTAAAGGAGATGTTTTTCAGTGGAGTGGAAAAATGCTGGAAAAACCTCAACTCTTGGTTGTGCTCGTTAGTCCTGGCACTTTGGTTGAAAACTGCTGGTATTTCAGAGGAGCAGAACCTGGAATGAGCAAGGGCAGGGGGTGGCAGAGGACTGACGGGAGATGGAGGGATGGGTAACTACGGATGGGTACTTCGGAAGTGTTCTTACAGCCCTCTTTATTCTTCTGCCTTTCAAATTCTTCTGGTCTCAACTGTTGACTTTCTCTCTTTTTCCACTTGACAGTTCCTGTATAACCTTGTTCCTGCAAATCCTCCCTCCTCGCTTGTTCGGCTGCCAGCAGCTCCAGCAGCCCTGCTTCCTTCAGTCCCTTGGTACTCCTTCCATCTCTCCCCACCCTGCTTCTGAGTAAATCAAACCCTTGTTTAAAAGTAGAAAATAACTAAATCACGGCTCTGTCTGCACCGCCTGCTATCAGGTATTTGAGTCTGATTGATTCAAGAGCTGTGATTGCGGAGAAATCAGAGATTATCTTTTCCTCGCTGAACTGATGCTGTTGGTTGCTGCTCGTTCCTTACAGATGTTTCAATTTAAAGTTGGGAAAATACTTTCGGTGTTGGATTTGAGTCATGATGCTTGGCTGACATTTACTTGCCTCTTGGAGCTGACCTAAATCTTGCTTAGCATTGCCTCGTCTGGGGGCTGCTCAGCCCAGCACTGAACATCACAGCTCTTGGTTGTTGCTCTCACAGGGGTTTATAGACACTGGCACCAGTTTGCTGAGTGGGAACAGTGAAGAGCTGGACTTGGTGTTCAGTGCAGGGGAAAGGCTGCTGCATACAAACAGCTTGAGCCATTCTAGCACCATGTGGGAATAGAGAGTACCCAGCTCCAGAGTGCCTGCAAGCACCATGCCAGGCCTGATGCTGAAGTACTTGTGTAAATCACTGTCGACATGTGACATGGTTAAGAGCAGTGCCAACCCTACCATGACATACAGCTCAATACGAGTTTGGCTTTAGCGAAGAGCATTTGTCCATACACCTTGATTTGAAATCTTTGAGGATGCACTCGGGTATGCTCTCATAGGTCAGGTTAACACCTGATGAAGTTGGAGCCCCTACACTGAGGTGTGGGAAGTGGCTATGCAGCTATTCATAGGATGTTTGAATGCAAACAGCTCAGCTTAAACCTGTGCTGTTTTATTTGGAGTTCTGGGCTCCAGAATCATTTAGGAGAGGGAGGTGTGACTGCAAAGGTAGGGCAATGGCACTGCCTCACTAACCCTTCAGTGCGCACTTGACTTGCTGAGGATCATAGTCTGCAGAGTAGCTCGTACCACAGACAAACACCAATATGTACTGGGATCCTGGAGAGCATCTGCTGCCTTCCTCCATAGCAGGAGCTTGCTGTGGAAGAGTAATGACACGTGGCTGGTGGGTTAAAGTGCCACTAAGGTGGCATAATTGTGGCACGAATGCAAAGTGCAATGTCGAGTTAGGCATTTGCATGAGAACAAGCGCTCACGCTTTGCTGTGTGCTGCTATAGAACAAGTCCAAGAGACTTCCTGACATGTTGCCTGTTTTTTAGATCCTGAAGAAATCCTGTATAGAAATCCTGGCAGCAGAACCTTCCAGTATATGTGCAGGGGGTAAGTATCTGCTGAGCCCTAGTGGTCATGTTGCCTAAAACACACTTTGGGTCTATAGAATCATAGAATAGTTCAGGTTGGAAGGGACCTTAAGATCATCCAGTTCCAACACCCCTGCCATGGGCAGGGACACCTCACACTAAACCATGGCACCCAAGGCTCTGTCCAACCTGGCCTTGAACACTGCCAGGGATGGAGCATTCACAACCTCCCTGGGCAGCCCATTCCAGTGCCTCAGCACCCTCACAGGAAAGAATTTCCTCCTTAGATCCAATCTGAACTTCCCCAGTTTCAGTTTTAACCCATTACTCCTTGTCCTATCACTACAGTCCCTATGAAGAGTCCCTCCCCAGCATCCTTGTAGCCCCCTTCAGACACTGGAAGGCTGCTCTGAGGTCTCCACACAGCTTCTCTTCTCCAGGCTGAACAGCCCCATGTTCTCAGCCTCTCTTCATATGGGAGCTGCTCCAGCCCCTGAGCATCCTCATGGCCTCCTCTGGACTTGTTCCAACAGCTCCATGTCCTTTTCACGTTGAGGACACCAGAACTGCAAACAATACTCCATCTCCGATCGCTGGCGAGTGCAAAAGGAACCCATCAACCGGTGCTAAATCTGCTGCTTTTCTTGGTGCAAAGGCTTGAATTTGACAGTTTTGCTCAGTGTGTTTCAGGCAAACCAGTCTGTCTCGTTCAGCCCGTGCTGCATCTGCTCCTTTCAGTCTCAAGCAGAGACAGGATCCCCGTGGTTAATCAGACATCCCCGACGCTCTGCTTTTCCACTGGGCTTGAGCTCATTCCCCAGCAGTTGAGGCTCCTGTGATTTCTCTTAGGCATTCATCAGCCCCCACACTCCAGAACAGAGCTTGTCTCCCCCGTCCTTCCCAAGTGCTCTCACACAATGGGCCTGTGAGGCAGCAGCAGCTTCCCTGGCTGGGAGTGCTGGGATGATTTGCAACTTGGCTGTAAAGGAGTGGGACCTGGAGGGGATCCCAGATTCCAGAGCAGAGCTGCTTTTCTTGACAAGTACAGTGTGCGAGTCCTTCGGGGAGATGAAAGATGCTGGGGGCTGTGAAGTGCAAAGGGAAAGCTTTGAGTCTGCAGAAACTCGGTTCCTTCTTGCTCCTGGGAACCATCAAACCAAGGGCAGTGTTGGATGCGCTGTGGTCGCTCCTGCGTTGTCTCGGGAGGCGAAACGTTGTGTGTTCAAGCCACAGCCACCAGCCAAACATCAGTGGGGATTATCGGAGTGCCTCTCCAAGATGGTAATTCCCACAACAGGAATTGAGGGGGCTGCTTCCTTCGCTGGGTTTGTAGTCCTTGTGTCCAGAACTTGTCTGGGTCCGTGGCCCTGCTTCAACATCTGAAAGCGATGCTTCCTTGCGAGGCAGTCGTACTGCTGGTGGTGGCAGGAAGCTTGTAAAGCTTCCCCAGTGTTAGGTTCAAGGAGCTGGGATAACAAGGGATAGGAGGGCGCTGTCAGACTTGTGAGGAGGTGATCTCATTGCTCAGGGATGCTTGCTCCAGAAAGGACCGCGCAGTTCAGTGCTCAGGTGTAGGGGACCATCCTTGATGCCTTCTGCATTAGACCTTGTGGAGCGGATATGGAGAAGCAGCAAAGAGGAAGACTTGGGGAAATGCCCACACTCTGGTTTGTCCAGGCACCAGGAAGCTGATGGAATGAAATCCCCTGTAACTGCATGGAAACGAGCCCCATCAAGGACTCCTGGTCATGGTACAGGCTCACAGGGCAGGATGCGGCCAAACTCATGGCAACTGCTACAAGACTGAGTTACCCAAAGCTGCCCTTGAACCTCTCCAGATGATCTGTCACTGGGAGATGGTTTTCCTTTCTGTGGAAAGATACTTTTACCTTTCTTCACCCAAACCTTCCTGCTATTTAAAATGCCAGCCTGGGGAGGGGGAAGCTCAGTGTCGCTGAAGCTCAATGTTCTCAGTTCAAATGCTTGTGTTGTGTGTTATTGCCTGTTGCTAAAGGTTGAGTTTGGGCAGGGAGGGAGTGGAAGGTCCATTCTTTACTATGTTTAAACTTAAAACTTATTAAACTGCATATTTCAGCTGAGGAGACCAAGTGAAAACTGGTGACGTAGACACCTTGTCTAGGTGACCACTCTTTGCCTCTCCATGGATCGATAACGCACTGTCTCTCTTGCTCCAGAGTCGTTCCAGGTGGTTGTGAGAGGGAACGGATTTCGACATGCCCGCAACGTTGACAGGGTGCTCTGCAGCTTCAGGATCAACGACACCCTTACCCTCAGTGAGTGCTTTGGATCTGTGGTTTGTCTGATCCTGCGCTTGGAAAACGTGCTGGATCTTCAAGTGTGTTGGCTGTGAAGGGAGCAATTGTATGGGATGAGGAGCTATGGTGGTGGTGTGTGCTGTGACTGACAGCAAGGATGTGACTAGGTGAGCTTGAGCAGTGGAGGGGACAGGTACAGAAGATGAGAAACTTGCCTGTAAAGAGCATCTCTGTGTGTCCTGTTGGGTTAAGTATGAAGTCAGGTCAGGTCTGTTGGGTTGGAGCAGCTCTGCTCTGGAGCCAGGCTGAGAGAGCTGGGCTGGGTCAGCCTGGACAAGAGAAGGCTCCTGAAGGGGAGACCTGAGAGCAGCTCCAGTGCCTGAAGGGGCTGCAGGAAACCTGGAGAGGGGCTTGGGACAAGGGCCTGTAGGGACAGGCCAAGGGGAATGGCTTTAACCTGCCAGAGGGGAGACTGAGATGAGCTTTAATGTTCCTTCCAACCCAAACCATTCCATGATTCAATGGTTACCTATATTTGGTGGTATTTAGCAGGTCTGCTCATGCAGCTTAATTAAACACTGCTGCTGGAAGCTACAGTGGAGCAGTGGTTAAGGAACTGATGTGCTTCTGTGGAGGCAGCTTGGAAAGAAGTTTCCTCTACAGAGGAACCAAAGTAAGAGAAGCAAATTAGACCCCGAGTGTCTGGTCCCTCTGTGAGGTGTATGAGATCCATTTAGCTGGAAGAACTCACAACCCTGTTGCTCTCATCTGGCACGTTTGCAAACCCACACAGGAAACCAGATAGCATAACTCATAGCTAACACCACCGTGACAGCAGAATTCAGCTTGTCTAACACAATCTATTCTGAAGCTGCCTGATCACTTTGGAGGTGGAGCTGATGCTTCAGTATGAAATAGATGCATGAAGTAGTTAAAGCGTGGAAGTCAAATGGCTCAATGTTGGACTTTTCATGCTTCGAGCATCTGTAACTTGCTCTTTGGAGCAGGCAGCAGTTTGCTAAGGCTGTTTGTCCTATGAGGAATGTCACTGAGCATTCAGGGCAGGTATAGGACAGTGAGTGTGTGTGGTTTGTCCTGAACAGCTCTGTCACTGTTACAGTGGCCTCCTCTGCACTGGTTTGGCTCTGGAATTGCCAATGGTGATGTCCCTAAGCAGGAAGCCTGGCTGCCTGTGGCTTGTGTTTGCTCCATAGCATCAGACCCGAACCTGACACGTGGCCAGAGCTCCCTCAGTCTGGATCATGGCCACATTGAGGTGTTGAACCAGAGTTCAACAGTGTTTGGATCACAGGCGTTATAACGTCTCCCGTCGGAAACCTGCCCTCCTCTCTCCACCTGGAAGGAAGGTTCCAATGGGAATGGAATTGCTGTTTGGATATTTAGGAGTTGCTTTTTGTCTGAAGTCTGAAGCCACATGGAGCAAACCCTACCGCTCCTGCTTCCCAGATGGGAGAGCTGAAGGCAGCTGCTCCAAGTGAGCTGCCTGAAGACACTTCTTCCTTCATTTCTGCCTCCGTATCCACCCAATAATTGTCCTTATTATGGCCCCCTATGCACTGAGCCTGAATGGAAGGTGGAAGTACCTCCTCCTCCTGCTTTGTGAGGTAGGGAGGTGATGCTGGTCTCTTCCTCCATTTCTCTCCTATGTAAACTCAGTTCAACACTTGATTTCCTGATCCACTTTCTCCTCAAGAGAAGACTTCTTGCTCCCTTGTCACTGGTGTGACAGGTTCTTCTGCTTCCTGAGGCTAAAAGATGCTCTTGCATCCCAATTCCTCCTCAGCTCCGCTTCCTCCGAGCTGGCTGGCTCTGCAGCAAGCCTTTCATTCCTGGAAACATCCAGAGTTAGGAATGTCATCCATCAGCTTTCCACTCAGTCTATGGAGACACAAAAGCATCCAGTGCTGCCAATGGGAGGAGCTGTTTGCGAAGGTTACCTCACTCCCAAACACTGTGACCTGGTGGTGGTGAGGAGGAAGACTCTTTCCTTGCTTTGTGTATGCTGCTGTTGCTTGTCTGGCTGTGATTTATTCTGCTGTCTCTCCCCATCGTTTCATAGTAGTTTTGGGGAAGGATCAGCTTCTTTTAGTGCAACCCATGGGTGCTTTTTAGTTGAAGCTGTCTTCCTGTACCCACAAAATGACTGTGGAAAGCAAGGAGACGGGCCAAATGTTTCCTGCCCTCTGACCTGGTGCATCCATTGCGTCCTGCACTGATGCATCAAAGTGAGCTCATTCTCCTTGGCGCTGATCCGTTTTGCTCAGCTCCAGGCTGATCCCTAGGCAGTGACCTGGAAGCAGGAGGCCACAAACTGAGTTTCGGAGTCCAAACCATTCCCTGGTTGAGGGAACTCGACAGTTGCTCAGCAAAGCCAAGTCTCTCCGGGTGGGAACAGCTCTCTTCAGCTGCTCTGTGTGAGAATGTGTCTTTGCTTCACAGGAGCCCACAGATCCATCCTGGGCTCTCTGTTTGCACTGGAGCTGCGAGCAGCTTACCCTAAGAGTTAACTGAACAAGAGCTTAGTGCAAACCATGTGGGGTTTGGCTTGCTCAGCTGGTTTTGTTTGCTTGGAACCTCTCAGCCGCTGATTGTATCAGGGAGGGAGTTATTGTTAAAGATAACACTGAGCCAACAGATCCCGAAGCCTTCAGTTATCCCAGATGAGATGTCAACCAACACAGCAAGGACTTGCTGAGGTCAAGGGCATGAGCTAATAGGGTTTTATTGGGGTTATTGGCAGGCAGAAGTGGCAGGTGAAGAAGAGAGCATCACTCATAATGCTATGGGGTAAAACAGCTGTAGAAGCCATGAAGAGCACTTGGCTGAGCGGAGCTGTAACCAGATGCATGTTCAAGAGCAGCGTGTTTCTGCCAGCACAGGACCTGGGAGAATTGCTTTCAGGCTGCACAGAGTTAAAAGTAATTACCCAGAGCAGTGACTTACGGTGCTCAAATGGCTTTGTCTGCTCAGGCTGGGCAGGAGCCAGCAGGGATAGTTCTGGGCATGGAGATGAGCTCTGCCCTGTGCTAAAGCCGAAGGGTTGGTGGGGATCAGCTCCACTGCAGAGTGGAGGGGAAATGGGGCAAAGACAGTGAAAGAAGAACCCCCAAAACGGCATCCCAAAACTGACCCGCAAATGCCTTGTGTTTTCAAAGCCTTGCTCCGTTCTCCCTGCCTTTTTCCTGGCAGCACAGCACTTCCCTGGTGATACCTTTTTCACTGTCTCACAGCCTGCTCACTCGTCGCACAGGAATGGTTTACTCTGCAGTCCCACTCTTTAATCCCCCATTGATCGCATCACTTTAACCCTTCCCTCAATCTTTTCCTTTCTTATGGTAGCTTTGCCCTCTTTCCCCTATGGTACTAGAGGATGTCCATCACTGCATACAAGCCCCATCAGGTGTTCTGAGGAGGACTGTGGCCTTTATGAAGGACACAATGAATGCTTGTGTTTCTCCTAGGTGAAAAACATACGCCAAGGTGAGCTTGGCATCATGTTTTGAAGGGTGCCCCAAGTCATTGCTTGACAGAGAATATGAGCACAGACGAAACAGTCATGCTTCCCTCAAACGACCATCAAGAATTTGCAGGTTAAAGAGCTTTTAAAGCAGGATTCCTACTGAACCCATCAGAGAAAGAGAATCCTTCCATATCCATCCTCTCCATCCGGAGACTGTTATGAATGCGATATCATTGCTCTTCCCCCCATCCCCTAACTCTGCTCTCAATGGCTTTGGCATTCAAAGCTCATGTGTGCCTACACAAAGCAGAGCAATTACAACATGATCTCAATGTGGTTTTCATTACAGCATTAACAAAACATCTCTTCTTTACGTGTCAGTCTTGCAGTTGCTTTAGCTCAGAGAGTGATCCAGTGTCTTCCTACGTTCCTATCTCCCCACAAAATGGTTTGAAATGAAAACTTTGCTTGCAGAGCTGTCATAAGGAGTGGCGAGGATGAACAGAGATTGGGCTTTGGTGGCTGGTGAAGAGGATTATAGAGGTATATTTTGTCTCATCTTGGGTGACAGAAGCATTTGGGCTCTATGATTCGATGATTCTGAGCGTGTACTGGTCTGATGGAGCAGAGCCTTCTCCCATCAGAAGACATCCTGAGAGCATTGCCTGAGATATACTTTAGTTGAATTGAAATCATAAAGAGAGGGATAACAGAAGGAAGTTTTTAGCCTGAGAGATGGGAAGTTTGGCAAATGGCTTTTGCATCCTCTTTGGGACTAAACTATTGCTGATATGGTGGGTTCGACAACCAGCACTGTGAGAAGACTCTGTGTCCCCCTGTAAGGATCTTTACAGTCAGTTCTCAGTGTGCCACGTTGTTCTGGGGTGGACCAGTAACCAAAGAAAAGGCTGTTAAATAGCTTGGTTATATGGCCAAAAGAAAGTCCTGCTGGCCTGGTCACCTTCTTTGGGGTGTTGTATCTCTCCTTCATTGGGGTTTGTTCTTCTGTGTTAAAACTTAATGCATATATTGAGGCTTTTATTATTATGGTTGGGAAGTACTCCAAGTGCTGGCTTGCCAAAAGGTTACACCCTGCTAATGGTGAAAGAAACTATTCCCTGATGCTGGAATAATAGATTTTGCAGGCTGCAGATAGTTGTTAAAGGTGCAGGACTGCTGGGTAGTGAGTTACAGGAATGTGAGCAGGAGCAAGGACTTTGTTGAAAGGGGACTCATGGAAAACAGATGGATCTTTGTGTGTTTTTTTTTCTGTTTCTTCCCTATATCCAACCTGAACTTCCCCTGTTTCAGTCTGAACCCATCACCCCTTGTCCTATCCCTACAGTCCCTGATGAAGAGCCCCTCTCCAGCATCCTTGTAGCCCCCTTCACACACTGGAAGCTGCCCTGAGGTCTCCACAAAGCTTCTCTTCTCCAGGCTGAACAGCCCCAATGTTCTCAGCCTGGCTCCATACGGGAGCTGCTCCAGCCCCTGAGCATCCTCATGGCCTCCTCTGGACTCTCTCCATCAGCTCCATGTCCTTATGCTGGAACTGCACACAGTGCTGCGAGTGGGGTCTCATGAGATCAGGGTCATCTCCTTTGACACGCTGCTCTCACTCCCAGTATATGGGCTGCATCAAGCAAGTAAGATGCCCAAGCTCTGCCCATGACTGGCATCTGAGCTGTGCTTCAGGCCTGGGCACCTTGTCTGTAGCATTGCTGATAGATACAGACATTGCCAATATATCCATTGCCAGTGGATATAGACATACACAGTGGGATTTCTTCCCGGTTACCCAGCAGCAATCGCTTCCTGGGCAGCAGAGACATGGAGTGGAGCGCTCCCCTCCCGGCCCTCCGTAGCTCTCCCACTCATGTTGTCAGCTGAGCGGAGGCCAAACCACAGAATTCCCATTCTGGCCGGGGATCCGGAGGTTGGGAGCGTTCAGCTCCATCTCTTCCTGCACCAGGCTGCAGCGAGCTCCTTCCGCAGCAAAGAGAAGCGGCGTTTCACCCGCGCATCCTGCAGACAGGGGTGTCGGGGCAGATGAGGAGTGCTGGTTTGGTTGGGTTCCCCGTGTAAGTTTTCCAGGAAGGAGTCAGACGGCTGGAGTTATGCAAACCAAATGGATCCTCTTTTGTTTAGAGCAAGGGAAAAGGATCTCTCATTTTTGTGGCGACGCACAGACATTCTCCAAGCAGAATCGTCTCTCCCTGTAGCCAGCCATGAGCTCCCTCCTGGGACCCGGCTCTGACAGACTGGGGAGAGAGAGGCACAACTTCCATGCAAGTTGGGGGTGGGAATAGAGAGAAAGAGAAACAAAAAGCTCATGGCATTGAAGCAGACGGCCTGGTGAAATCAAACTGACTTTGTTTTAGTGAACGCTGGCACGGGGAATTCTGTGGCCTTTGCTGCCAGTGTTAGTGAAGGAGAAAACAAGACATCGGTCTTCATTCTCTTGGCGTGTGTGTGCTGAGACAATGCCATATATTGAGGGGACTTGATGATATCTTCATAAATCAGGGTGAGAAGAGATCCAGGGCCAGACTCACCGCCACTGCACTGCTCTTGCTTGTGCAAGGTGGGGAAAGCTGCTGGTTTGGTTGGGTAACTCCACTGCAAAACAGAGTGTGTATGGGACGCAAGCTCAGCATCAATCCAGTGCCTGTGCTGCTGGCTGTGGGAAGTGTGGGATGTGCATCGTGTGCTTTAAGTGCCTCTTGTCTGTCTGCCTCTCTATTAATGAGGATGTAATCCAGATAGCATGGGGTTGGCAAAGGAATACCCTGTGTTAAATACACCTGCTCACAGTGTTTAATGGAAATGACTGTGTGCGTTCTTACTATAGAGCTGAGTTGGAAGGGATCTTAAAGCCCATCCAGTTCCAACCCCTGCCACAGGCAGGGACACCTTCCACTGGAGCAGCTTGCTCCAAGCCCCTGTGTCCAACCTGGCCTTGAGCACTGCCAGGGATGGGGCAGCCACAGCTTCTCTGGGCACCCTGTGCCAGCGCCTCAGCACCCTCACAGGGAAGAGCTTCTGCCTTTACCCCTTACACAGTGCTTGATCCTATTTATGCATCCAGAGTGAGGGAAAACATTAATTAAGCTTGGTCTTGAAGGCCTATATTGCTGATCTGGTAATAAACCCCAGTATCTTTATCTTCCAGATGAGAAGCCTTTCGTAGTGGAAGATACCTACTTACTGTGCCCAGCGCCTGTGCTGCGAGAAGTTGGCATGTATGTGTTTCACTTTCCAGTGGAAGAATGAGTCTCTGTCCCCTCACTTTAACCTGTTCCTGACTTATTCCTTGTGGTTTGGCTCTTTTTCAGGGAAGCAGCTCTCCAAGTCAGCATGAACGATGGTCTGAGCTTCATCTCCAGCTCCGTCATCATCTCCAGCACACACTGTGTAAGGTTTGATTCATGCGCCTACGAAGATTCAGTAGGATGGTGGGACTTAGCAGCAGGTGTTTTACACTGGTGTTGGGTACTGTGGGAGCCTGGTGTGCAAAAGAGCTGTTTCTCTCTTTGAAAGGTGAGCTTGTGAGCGTGCTGATGTGACATCTTGTGTATCATGTGTGCCATAGCGTGGCAAAGCTCTTGAGTCTTCAGTACGCACCATGGACTCTGCTGTAGGATGCAGACCAGAACAGGACCAGCAGCCATTGGCCTGAAGGTGCCTGTATCTGCACAAGAAGCATGTCTGTGGGCTTTGTTAGCTAGTCTGGCTCCTCTTACAGCAATGTGCTGCTGCTGTGGAAGGTGTATGGGTGTTGTAATCACAGCCTTTGTCTGGACACCAGTGTGGACCAAAAGATGGTGAGGTTCTGCACTGCAGCAGCTGGTTTATGGCTTGTAGCAGGGAATTGCTGCGTTCAGTCTCTGGTGCAACCAGGCAGAGGATGATGAAACCATTTGGTTTGAAGATGCTGCTTATTTTAAGTCATGTCTATGAGGAATAAAGCATCAAATGACTTGTGCCGAAGGAGGAATTCACTTTGAGTTCAGAGCAGTCCTTTGTGCTTCAGTGTATACAGCTTTATCCATCTGTGAGCAGACTGAGCTGTTCTGGGAATGGTTGGGAGGCTGCTTTACTTCTCCTGTGTGCTTTTGGGAAGCCAGAGGAGTCTCACCAGCAAATCTGTCCATGGGTTGCGGTACTCCCTGCCCAGTGAAGGCACATTGTGCTTTATACAGGGCAAGTGAAAGGCTGGGATACATGGGTTACCAGCAGCCTGCTGCGCTCTACAATGGCTGATGCACAAGAGGAGAAAAGTCTTTTGTGTCCCTTGATCTTGCTGCTTGCTCAGCAAGGACCAGATTGTGTGGAAACAGAGTTTACAGGAGGGGGGTTATATTCCAAACCATACAACGACTTCCTTATGCCTTTAAAGGAGGGAATTAGTTCTATTAGTTAATCTTTTGGTTCGAGTTCTCTTTGCTCACTGGCATTTGGGTATTGTCAGCAGATTGCAGGCATATTTTGCTGTGTTTTGCTCGTATGAAGCAAGACCTGGGATAGAGTTCTTAGAGACAAGTTATCCCTTCCTGATAGGCTTCCTGCTGGGGCTGGAATGATTATTTCTAGGTTATAGGAGGTGAAATATCCGTTCCTCTGCTATTGTTTTAATTGCTGTTAAGGAACCTTCTTTTGCCTGTGCTTCACGGCAGTGCCTACCCCTCTGATGCCTCCAGCCTATGAAACTGGATTTGTAGCGCATCCGAGCAGCCAGAGTTCAAATCCAGTTTCACTACTGATGCTGCTTCTCCTGGGTGCATTAAGTGATGCTACTTGAATATCTGTCAGCTCCGAATTAGACCTCCCTGCTTGGGCTTTGGATGAGGTTTTGGGGTTCTGCTTTGTTCCAAGGGGTCCTACGTAAGCTAAAACAGGTTTGGAGCTCTAAAATCCGGGCCCTTTGGAATCCACTCGCCTGGACTGTGGGTGTCTGTTGTGCTTTGAGGGGCTCCTCGTTTTCCCTGGCTTTCTGCTTCCTGAAATGTGGGAAGCTTCAGGGATTGCAGCCCCCCAGCAGTGCAAGGACTGTCAGAAGTTAACCTGCATGGGTTCTGCCCCTGCTCAACTGCTCCTGCCTTCCAGGACCTGAGTACAGGCATGACTGTATGTGCTTTACTGTGTTCTTTCTATGGGATTCAAGGAATTGGTGCCTTGGGTTCCCAAAATAACATTGCCAGAAGGGCTTAGCTGTCGCTCTCTAAGCGAGCCTCCAGGCTTTCCTGTCCCCACTGCAGTTCCTTCCCTCTGCTGAAAGGGAATGGACCTTCTTCACTCAACAAAAGAAAGGAGGAGTGGGAGAGGCTCGGAAAGATCCCTTTATTGCAGAGGACCTTTCAGTGTTTCCATCGCCAAGCCCATTTGCAGCCACATAACGGTGATCCCTGATGGATCAGGTGGAGTGAAATCTCCATTTAAAGAGTCCACATTCAGTCCCTGCCAAGGCCAAGTACGAAACAGTCCACAGGAGGCCTCTGGGGGTTGGATTTGTTGTTCTTCTGCAGCTTTTTCAATGGGGGTTTTTAGAGGCAAGGGAGTTGGTCACACACAAGGGGCCCCTTGAAATCCCATGGGATGAGTACCACAACCGGGCAACTCCACGGGCAGGCTGTGTCTGGCGCATCAAGAAGCATCATGAGAACAAAGCTCGACTCCCTGATCTCATGCAGGGGCGAAGGTGAGGTTAAAGGTGGAGTTGAGTTGTCTGCCAATGGGAAAAAGCATTGATTGTGGAATCACATGGAATGAGCAGCCTTTGCCTCCAAGAAGGGCAAAAGAAAGCAAGGAAGGAGATAGAACCAGGTTAGTAAAGCAGATGCATTGGGCAGAGCATCGGTTTTATGGGATGCTGGAACGCAGATGAAGCTCTAGCTCAGGGCAGGGTGATGTTCCATGTAAACATCCAGCTCACTTGTACCCTCCCTATGCATGGCCAGTATGATGTGTCCCTCGAAGGCTTTGCTGACTGCATAGCCCAGACTGGGGATTAGTGAGTGGCTTCTGGTAAAGCTGCTGTGACTGTAAATCAGGGGCTGCAGACAGCACTTTAATCCTGCTCCCCACTAACTTACTTATTGCCCAGTTAAACGAAGATAGGGCTGTCCTGAGTGTAATTTAGGGTGTTGTTTGGCCTGGGCTGTGTGACCACTGGCAGCAACCCCAACAGAGCAGGGGAATGGCTGGAATGAGTGTTGTTAAGGTTTGGAGACAGCCTGCTGTTTATATAAGGGGGATCAGATGCCAGCATCTCCACTACGACAAAGCTCAGCTGGCTGGAAGTATGTGATGACTTTGTCTCTTGGCTTCCTTGTCCTGTGGTTTAATCCCACACAACCACTCACTGTAGTGATAGGACAAGGGGTGATGGGTTTAAACTGAAACGGGGGAAGTTCAGGCTGGAGATAAAGAAGAAGTTCTTTACTGTGAGGGTGCTGAGGCACTGGAATGGGTTGCCTAAGGAAGTGGTAAATGCTGCATCCCTGGCAGTGTTCAAGGGACACTTTGGACAGAGCCTTGGGGGGTTTAATGTGAGGTGTCCTTGCCCATGGCAAGGGGCTGGAACTGGACGATCTTAAGGTCCTTTCCAACCCAAACCAGTCTGGGATTCTATGGGGGAGAGAATCTGAAGGGTGAAAGTGAGAAAATTCATGGGTGGAGATAAAGAGAGTTTACCAGGTAAAGCAAAAGCTGCACACAAGCAAAGCAAGGAGTTAATCCACCACTTCCATGGTCAGAATATGATATCATCATTATGATTAATGATGGGTTTAAAAAGCAGTTTCATCTCACTGCTGAAGTCGGGACTTTTGATAGCTGAAGGCACCAAGAACTAGAGCTCACTCTGCTAAACACAACCCCTTCTCTTGTTGTAACAGCAATAACATAAGGCCCAGGGCCAGAAGTGCAATGGGCACTGAGCAGCCTCAGCTTCCACTACTGCTAAGACTAAGTGCAACTAATTCTTCCTCACCTATTAGTCTCAGCATAGCCCCAATTTGGTGTGTGAAGTTGCTCCACATCAGCCTTTAGTGCTCTGAGCCCAGTGTGCATTGCTATCACCCACACGAGCTAATGCCTGCAGAGTGCGTGCTGCCGTGGTGTCTGCTTGAAGTAGCAGCAAGTGATGGCTGGTGGAATTGGGAAGCCCTTAACAAGGGGGTTACTCCTGTTCCCATGTTGGGAGTTCAAAGAACTAGAAGAAGGCAGAAGTAAATCAATGGTGGGTATGGATTTGTCCCCCTGCAGATGTGCCCGGGGCAGGTTTCACACCAAGTGTGCTCAGGAAAAGGGATGTCCAATAGAGGACACATGAAGGCAGCGTGTGGAGGCAGGAAGCGAGTCCCACTCTCTGCTGCCAAGTTCTGCAGTTCAAAAAGAGCGTCTCGGAGAGGAGCCAGAATGAGAACTAAAATAAGGCTTTGTTCATCCTCTCGACTGGCCCCAGAAGAGGAAAACCCACTGCTGACCTCTGGCACTGGTAGCTCCCAGCCTCAGAACTGGAAGGGACAGCGTAGAGCAGGTCCTCCTGGGCAGCTCCCGATGGGAATAGCAGGGGTATCACTCAGTGATGTTCCTGCACTCCCTGTATCACCGAGTGAGAAACACACAGTGCTTCTCCACAAGGAGGAGAGATGATGGAGGTACCCACGTGTGGGCGGGGGGAAGGTTTCTGTGGCAGGATATTAGACCTGCTTTGCACTAGCATTGATTGAAACTCATCTTTATTCGCCATGTTCACAATGGATGTCTTCTTGGGTCATGCCGTGTTCCTTCAGGAGGAGGGCTTGGGGAATGATGCTTGTAAAAAGGAGCATCTTCCAGCTGGAAAGGGGAAGTTCTTCCCTGTAGGGGTGCTGAGGTGCTGGCACAGGGTGCCCAGAGAAGCTGTGGCTGCCCCAAGGCCAACACAAGTTGTTTTCTTGGGCTGAATTGAGCCTGTTGTCAGTGTTGAGCACAGCTCCATGCATTATTCCATGGTTCAGCGTTTCCATGAACATTCTTGTTCCAAATTTTGATTAAAAGGAACAGAAAGGAATGAAACCAGACGTTCCAAAGGCTTCAGCCCTTCTTCAGCAGCTGTAACCCTGGGAGGAAGATTCAACGTGTCAGGGGAACCTCCGCAAGCTCTTTGGGCAGGCGCTTTTCCTTGTTTCTGATTCAGTTTGGTTAAGTGGCAGTTTCCAGCTAAGCATAGTTCTAGCTGCATAAAACGATAGATAGTGCACAGGATGATAGCTAAGTTCTAGCAGAAGATGATCAAATAAAGATAAAACAACCCAAAAGCAGAGTTTAGGCCACTTTGGGTTATTAAGTGCGAGGCTGCACCTCAAACCCTGTGCTCAGCTCTGGGCCCCTCACTACAAGATAGACATTGAGGTGCTGGAGGGGGGACAGAGAAGGGCAATGGTGCTGGTGCAGGGCCTGGAGCACAGGGGTGATGGGGAACGGCTGAGGGAGCTGGGGGGTTCAGATGGAGAAGGCTCAGGGGGGTTCACTCCCTATAATTCTCCAGTTAGATGTCATGGTTTGCTGCTTTGAAGCTATGGTTGATCCCAGCAAACACAGTTTGGGTTTGTCTGAAGTAGTTTGATGATTGTTCAAATATGAGAAAAGGAATGAATCCACCTAGAATGACCTGGGGGGTGGGGAGGGTTTGCTATGTGAAGATGTTCAGCTGTTTGCTGAAGCATTGAATCTCAGCAGGTTCCACTTTGCGGATGATGGATGTGAGTTCATGTTGTCTGTCTGGAGGAACAGCATCCCATGCACAGCTCTGTCTTCTCAATGAGCTTTTGTTTCATGTTAGGGTCCACATTCCATTGCCAGAAATGTTCTGGGTGAATTCATCTCCCGTGTGGACTACATCTGTTGTTTCCAAGTGTCAAAGACCAGGTTGTCTTGATCCAAGTCTCCAGGAATTCCTTCTACACCAGAAAAGAGTTTGGAAGATGCTCTCAACCAGATTGGGGTTTTTCCATTACAATTCCCATTATGGCATGATGGGAGAGCATCTGGCCACCAAATTGCAGTGATGTGGAACTAGATGATCCTAAGGTCCTTTTCAACCCTAACCATTCTGTGATAGTATGACTCATGCAGGCACCCAGTTTTCCCATCCTCCAGGTCAGTCTGCCCTTGAATGTCCTTTATCTGGCACATTGGGATCTTGACACTTGGGTGGGGGTTTTACATGTCTGGCTCTTACATCAACCCGTCTCCAACAGGCTTAAGTCAGGACTGTCTGCTTGCTTAGCTTGGAGGAGGTTGAGGTTGGGTAGGAGTAGCACAGGGAAGTTGGCATGTGAGCCAAGAACATCTGCTTTGGGTGAAGAAATAACCCACACTGGGGTTTGATTGCTGCAGCATGGGGCTGGCTTGTGCAGCAGTTTGTGGTGGTAACTGGTGTCGAAGAGCTGCTAATGCCTTTTTAAATGGGGAAGCATCCCACTTAGAGAGGAAATGATCTTCTAGAGTTAATGGCTTGTGATGTGAAAACCCCTGTGTCTTGTGTGATGGGGTGTGCATTCAATCCCCTTGAAGGGCTCATAGAAACAGAATGGTTTGGGTTAGAAAGGACCTTAAGATCATCCAGTTCCAACACCCCTGCACTGGGCAGGGACACCTCACACTAAACCATCTCACCCAAGGCTTTGTCCAACCTGGCCTTGAACACCGCCAGGGATGGAGCATTCACAACCTCCCTGAGCAACCCATTCCAGTGCCTCAGCACCCTAACAGGAAAGAATTTCCTCCTTAGATCCAATCTAAACTTCCCCTGTTTCAGTTTGAACCCGTTACCCCTTGTCCTGTCACTACAGTCCCTAATGAAGAGTCCCTCCCCAGCATCCTTGTAGCCCCCTTCAGACGCTGGAAGCTGCTCTGAGGTCTCCACACAGCCTTCTCTTCTCCAGGCTGAACAGCCCCAGTGTTCTCAGCCTGTCTTCATACAGGAGGTGCTCCAGCCCCTGATCATCCTTGTGGCCTCCTCTGGACTTGCTCCAACAGTTCCATGTCCTTTTTATGTTGAGGACACCAGAACTGCACACAATGCTCCAAGTGAGGTCTCACGAGAGCAGAGCAGAGGGGCAGGATCACCTCCTTCAACCTGCTGGTCATGCTCCTTTCCAAGGCAGAGCTGCCTTGACAGCACTGCTCAGAGGAGCAGGATGACCTGAGCTGTGGACACATGGACAGCTCACGTCGTGCTTTCTGTTGGGAGTGAATTCTAGCACTGCTTTTAGTTTATACCGCAAGAGGGGAACAGGGTTACAGAGAAAGGAGAATGCTTTAATTGCAATGAAACGCTGTGGTGTGAGCTCCCTTATCAATCTGTTCCTTTCACTCTTCACAATACTCTGAGGAATTGCAGTAATCTTGATCTGAAGTGCAAGGATCACAAGATCAAGACTAAACCTGTAACTCTGGGCAGTGAACTTGAGCTCGCAGCCTCTTTGCCATGGGGAGTGGGTGCCACATTGGATGCCTGAGGAAGGAGGAAAACTGCATTTGGTCTGAGGGGTAAACGGAGTATGGCAGCGGCCTCTGGGCACGTACTTGCCTGGAAGTAGGATGCATGGGATGCATGGAGTGTTAGTGCTGCTCACACGCTCTCTGTGTTTCTCTTCCAGTCAGATGGGACCATCCTGGCTATTGCCTTGTTGATCCTCTTCCTCCTGCTGGCCTTGGTTCTCCTCTGGTGGTTCTGGCCCCTTTGCTGCACTGTGGTAAGTGACAGGAACCCTTTCAGTGATGCCTGAGTGTAAGAAACGAGTGGGAAGGAGGCAAAGCTTTCCTGTAAGGAAGAGCACAGGACTGGTCACTGAACAAGGCAGTGTTTCTTCCATCGCTGGCACTGATTGTGCTTCTATTTCATTTGCCTGACCTTTGGATTGTACCCATAAAACAGCGCTGTTGCTGACATGCAGACCTTGTTGGGAGCCTTTTAGTCTTATTATTGGTTGTGGAAGAGATGACACAGTGAAGCTCTGCTTTTGCTTTGGGTCATGTTTGTGCTGCAAATACAGAACACGAATCAGGGATGCACAAACGGCAGCAGAACTGGAGCCTGGTTTTGGTGACTGGCTCTGTGTAATGTTCCAGATGCCTGTTTTAAAGCTGCCCAAACCAGCTCCATTGTGTGGGTCACTGCCATTAATCCTGATTTTAGATGACTTACCCAGTGCTGTAAACGTGCACCACGTTGTACCAAAGCTATGGTCCATTGGTGAGAGCTCTGAAGCCACAAACTGGAGGAGCAGTCACAGTGGAGGATAAGCTTCTGTGTTGAGATGTTCTCTATCCAGAAATAGGATGGAAATCTCCAATAAAAATAGAATTGTTTTATTCAGAACAATAAAAATCTGCGCTCTAAAAATGGGCAAAGGATCAGCAGTGTGGGAGGTGGCTCAGAGCCATTGGTCTCAACTAAGTGGCACCATCCCAGAGTCTTTGTTGGCACATCTGCATAGGAGGCAATGGAGATGTGCCCTGTACAGATGCTTACAGTGGGATGTGGTGGAGAGCTGAGGTGGCAGAGAGGAAAGGCTCGAGGTGATGGTGCTCTTTGAAGGTTCTGTTGCAGGAGGAAAATGAAGCTGATAAGAAAAGGACCCAAAGAAAAGCAGCAGGAGCAAAGGGAGTATGGAGCTGTGCCTAGGGAGGGTACTGTGGGTCGGCTGCATATAAAGTGATATAAAGATGGTCAGGGAACAGTGTTCTTTAAGTGTGAGAAATACAGATAAGCAAAGTGAGTGCAGCAGAGATAGGGAGCCTCTTGTCCACATGAATCCTTATAAGCTTAATGTCTTCCAGATTTAAATGCTGTACTTAGAAACCCTGTTGTAGATAAAAGCTTTTCCTCACCCTCTCTCCTCCTTTACCTCCCACATTCCCTCTTAGTAAGGTCTTCAAGTGGGGGCCCATCTCACTGATAGGTTCCAAATGTGAGTCCGACGCATGCTGGAAGTGTTTTAATTCAAGAGCCTGCAGGAAGCCTCTTCCATCTCTCCAGGATGGCAGTCTAGGATGTTTGGCAGCAGATCAGCATCTAAAATACCCCCTGTTGTGTTGCTTACCCAAAGAGCAAAAACCAAAGGCATCCGCATAGGAGTACCCAGCCTGTTTGGCTTAGGGCAGGGAGAAGGAGAGCAGAGCAGTGCTAACTTGCTGCTTTGGGAATGGCCCATTAAGGAATGCAGTGTTGTCAGAAGCACAGAGTGAACTAGGGGCAGAGGAACTGGCTTGCACAACAGACAAGGGAGGCAGGCAAGGAGTAACCTCCAGTAACCAAACCGCAGCCCCAGAGACACTGTGGGGATTGAAGCCCAGAGATGCTTCGGAGATAAACTCTTTCCTTACCGAGTATAAAGCTGTTTCTGAGCGACAAGCACGTTTCTAAACCCTGCAGTTCCTCTTGGCATGCTTTTTGATTAAATGGGAATCATTATCATCCAGCACTTCTTCAGGAAAGACACCAAGCCAGCTCCATCCCTGGAGTAAATGGACTGAAGTCAATAGACTTACTCTGGAGATTCAGCTGGAGCCCAGTTTCTCCTTGGCATGCATCCATAAAGGAATGCTGTTTCCAAATGTATCCAAGTTTATTGGCCTCAGAAGGATTCTGGGATGAAGGCTGGAATTTACCACTCTGTTTTACAGTAGATGCAGTTGCTGCTGAGTGCATCAGAACAATAACAAGGTCTTTGCTGGGCCTTGGTACCAGCACAGGCAAATTTCCCTTGGTACCTGTGGATATTGCAAAGCCAGGAGCCAGGCACTGACCTTTCCAAAGGCTTCAAGGATGGTTATCCAAAACCAACAGAAAACAAAGCAAACAGACACCCCCAGCACTGTTATCCCAGGAGAAAGAGGGCAAACACAAAGCCATCTGTAACAGGGTGACCCCACTTTCCCTGAGCAGAACATATCTGCAAGACACCAAATGCCACATCCTGGCCTCGTTGATGCTTGTGGGCATTTTGCTGTTGCCTCCTGTTCCTCCTCCTTCCTGAGCACAGCGTAACCTGCAATCTGAACAATCATAGTCAGAACTGTGTGTGCAAGAGGCTCTTTAGGTGCCCAGGGATGGAATTGGTCTGGGTAGGAGGCCAACATAAGGTTTAGGTTTCATATTGATGTAACCCAAATAGATTTGAATGGAAACAGAAGCCAAATAGATAATAAGCATCCAAAACTGTCTTAACATGGATTTTATAGGCACATTGTTTGATTGGCTTGGAAATGGAGCTGGTTGAAGTGTTTGGCTTGTGCAGTGAAGGCATAGTTAATACAATAGTTGGAAGGACTGAATGTGCTGGGACACTTTCCCTGTCCCAATATACAGCACACAGCGAGCAAGTGTCTCCCATGGACACTTGGAGTTGCCAGATCCAGATCTGTGCTTGAGCCACACTTTGCACAGGAGCAGGATCTGCCTGATCTACCCCTGCAGTCCTGATCCAGCTCTGGGGCAGCAGCACAAGAGGGACGTGGAGCTGTTGGAGCAGGTCCAGAGGAGGCCATGGAGATGCTGCGAGGGCTGGAGCAGCTCTGCTCTGGAGCCAGGCTGAGAGAGCTGGGCTGGGGCAGCCTGGAGAAGAGAAGGCTCCTGAAGGGGAGACCTGAGAGCAGCTCCAGTGCCTGAAGGGGCTGCAGGAAACCTGGAGAGGGGCTTTGGGATATAAGGATATAGGGACAGGCCAAGGGGAATGGCTTTAACCTGCCAGAGGGGAGGTTTGGATGATGTGGTGCCTGCAACCAACCTTGTCCAGGGGATAAAATGCAGAGGATATGAGGATATGCAGCTGTGACTGGGACACAAAGCGTTTTAGGCACAAGAAGCTGGTGTTGTTAATGGCCCACTTAGCCTGTATCTGCACCATCTTACTCCTTTGTACACTGCAGCTTTTCAAATCCAGGGGTGGGGTAAGCGCATAGGAGAGGTGTTGGCATGGGAGCATCTAACACCATTTTTAAATCAAAGCTGTTTTCTGGAAGGCAGCGTGGAAGAACCCAGCAATTTGCTTGGCTCTGCCTGGAAACAGAAAGCTGGATGGGGAAAAATGCAGAAAATATATATTAAAACCATATGAAAACCACGGCTAAACTGGAGGAAGAGGAGGGGAGGAAATGCACCGGCTCTACAGCAACCCTGAAGAGTCATAACCTTACATGGAGCCTGTTGGCTTGATGGAGATGACTTACAACAGTCCATGTATCCCGATTCCCATCCGCTCCCATGTGCACAGGGCCCAGTTTTCCTGCCGTTACATGATTTTCATAGACTCCCTTCCCATCCTCGCAAGGAAGAAGTTCTGCCCTATATCCAACCTCAACTCCCCATGTTTGGGACGTGGTAGCACTGTTACTGTAGGTTTAAAGTGGTGGAAAAGAAGAGAACCTGCCTTTGCAATTGCAGCACGCAAATGGCAGCAAGAGGATGAAGACAGTGTCATTCTTCATCCAGAGTCCCCACACTGCTCACTGCTCCTCAGCCTCCTGTCAGTTGGATCACAATGGGTTAAATATGGATATCATAGAATAGTTAGGGTTGGAAAGGATCATGCTCTATAAGTGGCTGCCTTTAAGCAGGCTAGCATGGAGCCTGATAATAGCATAACAAAGGCATTTGGCTTGGGCTAATACTATCATCTCCACGGCAGCCCAGGTAGAGAAGTGGGTTAGTAGAACAGCACCAGGCATTAACTGGGGGGCTTTGACATGCTGTGTGATGGCTCATTACCAAAGACTTGAAGCCAAATTCTCCATCTGGGGTGTCTAAACAATGCATCTTCATGGAGATCATTTGAAGAGCAGCAAGGTACCATTTGCCTTTGGAGGATATGCCTAGACTACAGGTTCCTAAACCACTTCACTTGCTACTGCATTTTCTTAAGGCCAGATCCAAAAGCCAATTGCATGAATCTGGACCAGGTTCAGCACCCTTTGTTCCAGACCACAACAGATACTTAATGTGAGGGAGGCTCTGTTGCTCTTTGCCCTTGTGCTGCATGGGAAGTAATTCACTCAATAAAGATGACTTCTTCCTTTGGTTTTTAACCTGGTCTCCTCTCACCTCTTCCAAAGGAAGTTGGCTCAGTCCAGCTCAGGAGAAAGAGATCTTTAGGACATGGTTTTAACCAGGAAATTCACTAGGAATCAGAGAGTGAGAGCAAGGAATTCTGCATGTAGGAGAAAGTAGTGATGATGTTTTCCTTTAGTCCAGAAAATGAATGTTATTCACATGGGTTTCCAAAGAAAGTGGGTCAGACGCTTGGAGCAAACCCCATGGATTGTGGCCCTGTTCATCTGTGGCAGTGAAACAGCCTAGGGAAAGGAATGGCCTTTGCAGATGCATTCCCTGGAGAGCTGCCTGTCAGCCCCATGCCAACTGTCCCAGGTTAGTGCAATGGAAGGGTTTTTCCTCCGTGATGCCATGTCTTCAATATGGGGATGATTTTGACGTGCGCTGTGATGTACTGAATGTGGTTTGTGCTTGTCAGCTTCCAAAGGGTGTTCTGGGGTGAAAGAGCCTCTTCTTCTAGTTCTGATGAGTTAAAATTGGCACTCCTGGGTGTGCTCCAGGCTGACCAGAGCAGTTCACTTCAAAGGATGAGTTAGCTTTCCTGTTGGATTCCATGGACCTCCTGCTCGGGCGGCTGGGAAGAAGAATGGGTTGGACTGCAGGTGGAACAGGGACAGGCTCCTGCTTGTATTACTTGACCCTGCTTGAGGTGTAGACTAAACCTCCAAGGCTTTCACGGGGACTTAGAAGACATGGCAGATATAAACCAAGTAAAAAGCAATCGTTCTTTTCCCCAGCTCAACTAAAGTATGAGTCTGTCACAGGACTTAGCAGAGGTCAGACCTATAAATACGTGAGGGGAGGGGAGAGAAAAAGGATGAGTCAGATGGGTCAGAGTTACTGCTATAAAAAACCCCAACCCCTGTTTATTGGGATAACACAAATACAGATTCTGTGTTCTCCGGAAGAATGAAGGTAACTGAGGACAAAGGATCTGCTCAGTTGACTGCCTCCTCCCTTACCAAGTTTTGGTCATGATTAGAGGCTAAGTAAGTCCTTTATTTCTGATTTTGGACTGTTTTCTCATCAGCCTTCATCGTAAATGATGCTCTGTTCCATCTTCAAACAGATGCACTTCACTGACAAGAAACATATTGCCCCTATTTATCATATTAAACTCTGGGGACAGTTACTCGAGTATGTGCTTGCTGGACACTGTAAACTGGTGGAGATTTCTGCTCTCCCAACACGGAAAACATCCTAGACACATTCCTGGATTCAGCATGTGCTCTCTTCTGCTTGAATGGCTACAGAAATGTCAGGGCAATAGCCAGCCAGTCCTTTCCAGTGCTTTGGAACGTGCAGGAGGTGGCTGATAGAGTTCCTCTGCTTGGTTATCCATCGCAAGCATCCGCTTCTCTGTGCCACCAGTGTGGGACAGCCAGCAGAGCCCTGTGTCTACCACAGGCATGGTGACATCTGTGAGGAAAGGCAAAGAATTCCTTTACCATTCTGAACTGCTGGCAACTGCTCTCCAAGTTCCTTCCTCAGCCAAGGAAAGCCGATGGCCACCTCTCCATCCCACAGGAAGCAAAGCACCAGTGTAGGCAGTGGTGGAGTCACCATCCCTGCAGACGAGACCCTCAGTGCCATGGGTTGGTGGTGGCCTTGGCAGTGCTGGGGAATGGTGGAACTCAATGAGCTTAAAGCTCTTTTCCATTCCATGGTTTCACAGCACGGTGATGCTGTAGGAACCCTCAGGTGCTCCTCACCCAGTGAGAAAGCAGAGCTGCTGAATGATCCCCTTTTTTCCTCTCTCAAACACGGGGGCAGGAGCTCCGGTTGCAGCAGCCATCCCAGGACTGGCCTGGGGTTATCCAAACACTTGCAGTGCACATGCACATGCACAAACACAGCAGCCTTGCCAAGCTGAGCTGGCCCCAATGTCTTGCTTGGCCACGGGTGTTCCCAGCCGATTGCATTCCACAGACCCACGTGTGGCAATGGGGAAGGTGAGAGGTGCTGCCCAGGATGAAGTGCGGTGGCCAGAGCCGACTGGTCCTCACTGGGACCTGCAATGGGGTCCCTTCAATGGCCTTTTCCCTCTTGTACCTGAGTCATTGTTCCTATCTCTGCAAAGTGAGCAGGGGCGAGGGCCTGGGACCTTTCTCACACCCTGCTCACTTGTGGGAGATGGCACAAAGGCCCCGTGTGCTTCACCACCTTCAGAATCAGGCTCCGTGCGTATACAGCTATAAGGATGCAAAGGGAGAAGGAGAGGGGTTGTGCTCTTTGCAGACTAAAAGCCTTTCCAGACCTGGGCAGAGAGACAGAAAATACATTTCTGTAAGGTCTGAACTTGAGACTAACCTCTCCCCATCTTCGGACCTGTCCAAGCGAACCCATCCAAGTTGGCAGCGTACGGGGTGCTCCGTTGCTCTTAGAAAGGAATAGCACTGAAAAATGGAAGGAATCTCTTTTATTATCTTTCTTCTTTTGTTTTCCTTTTTCCCTCTTGAGCCAGAATAGGGAAAGCTCGATCTGCTCATGAAATCACTTGGTTTGTGTGTATGTGCATGCATATGTTATGAGAAGGAATGAAAATCATGACAAACACAGCCACCTCTTCATTTCCAAGTCTGGAACCTCCAGAGTTCCTAGTGATTCTGGCTGAGAAGCTTTGTTTGGATGCTGAGCTGGACCAAATGTGCTGGATGGATCGTCCTGAGGTTTCATGCCAATGCAAATGAGAACATTTACTCTGAAACCCATCACGTTCCACCAGAACAGGCGAATGAGGCCACTTCCAGTAGGTGTACTTTGGATCAGGCATCTGATGTTTCTCAGCATCCAATGGGTTTAAATGAAGGGGTTGGGTTCAAAAGGAGGTCTGCTGATAAGTGCCATCCCTTACACTGACCAAAACAAGTCTAAAAACATGGCTAGGAAAATGTGCTGTGTATTTTGGAGCATTGTATGTGCTGTGTCAGTATATATCGTGTCAGGAGGCATAGAAAAGATTATGTTGTCTCCATCCAAGAATGCCAGAGAGGGGCTCTTTATGAGGGACTGTAGCAATAAGACAAGGGGTGATGGGTTCAAACTGAAACACAAGTTCAGGCTGGAGATAAGGAAGAAGTTCTTTACTGTGAGGATGCTGAGGCACTGGCACAGGGTGCCCAGAGAAGCTGTGGCTGCCCCATCCCTGGCAGTGTTCAAGGCCAGGTTGGACACAGGGGCTTGGAGCAAGCTGCTCTAGTGGAAGGGGTCCCTGCCCGTGGCAGACGTTGGAGCTGGATGAGCTTTAAGGTCCCTCCCAACGCAAACCAATCTGTGATTCTACCTCTAACCAAGGAGTTTTGAGTAAACCCTGCTGGTACCCATGGTTTCCTTCCCACAGAGCAGGAGCCTGATGCAGACAACCCTTCATCATTTGCTTTCCAGCAGGAAAAAGAGCCACTGTACCTGGAGCTTCAAGCACAAGCTGGGAATTGCAGAGTAGACAGGGAGTGATGGATGCTTTACCAGTCAGCCTGAGCTCCTCTGGGCATCACCCTAATGGCACAGCCGGACCTCGGTTGCGCTGTGCCTGATGAGCAGGGCAGCGGATGCACCCACCACGCTCCTATCCAATGTCATTTCATGCTTCCACATGTGCTTTGTGCTTCTGTGCCTATAAACAGAGACTCCGTGTCCATTCCTGATGCACCACAGCTCTTTAGCACTGCACCCATCACTGCTGTGGGCTGAGATGCAAAGGCCTGACCCAGCCTTGGTATCTTCCATAGCCAGAGGCGCATGCTCTTCGTTAATGGCCACATTGCATGACTGGGGCTTTGCAGAGAGAAATAAAACCAGTGAGCTCATCAGAGAGGAAAAACACGAGTGAGAGGAGCTGTGTAAATATTTATCTCTTCAGGGCCTTTAATGTGACTGTCATTTTCCCCTTCTGCATTTGAGCAGCCGCGTTGTTAGTGTTTGGCACTGTGAGGTTTGGGTTGGTAGGGTCAGTTTTAAGCCTACCCATGTGTAGTCTATGCCCATGAAGCCTTTATACCTAATACCCACTCCTGGTTGGAGCTGAGGACACTCAGTGCCATCTCCACAGGCTCCCAGCATCCTGACAGCATCTGCTTCCTGGCCTGGGGTGTAAAGAAAGAGCTGCTCATCCAGATGGACTGCAAACAAGGGGGGAAGATCCACCCCTGGGGCAATCACTGCTGTTTGGGCTGGGTTCAGTGGCTGTGCATTGGGGTGCATCTTGTGTAAGGGAGGGACATTTGACGTGCCTGCATGCAACTGCTTTCCCTTTGGAAGGCTTTTTGTTGCTCTTGGAGTGGAGGGCTGTGGAAACAGCCAAGTGCCTGCTGAGCCCTCGATGCAAACTTTTTGCATGAAATAATAGCCTCACGCCCATAGAAACTTCAATTGTTTCTATGGAAAATATCCTGGACCACTGTAAAACCTCACCCTGCTTGCTTTATTCCAACCCCTGGGACAGCCTCAAATCTGTACATATATATATGTCTATCTTTTCAGCTTATGAGAGTGAACTGCATTAGCCTGATAATGTGAAAAGAATTCTGCAGGAGAGCATGGCACAGCCTCTGGAATGCAGAAGGCCTGGGAGAACAGAGTCTGGGGGGGTTATTGCTGCTTTGCAGTGTCTCCAGGGCATTTTACGTCATCCTGGTTTCACTTGCCAGTCATTGTTGAGGCCATTTGAGGCAGGGTTTGAGCAGCAGCCGGAAGAAGGAGACACTGATTTGATGAGGGTGTTTGGGTGAAACGGTGCCTACGGCTCCTGCTGGGATCAGGAGGCTGGAAGATGAAGGGTATGGGACTGAATTTGCTGTTAGCCCACACAGAGCAGGGGTCACATAGCAAGTGCTGTGAGTCTGGAGCTGTGACTGGGAGATGTCTCCATGGCAGGGCTCTGGGATGCCTCCAGTCTCCCTTCTTGCTCTCAGTGCCCGACGCCAGCAGCACACAGAGCCCCGTGACTGAGCTCAGGGATGTTCACAGCCGTGGCTGCTGGTGCTTTCTCTTTGGGGTTGGTTTTGGTGATGTTTGAATCGTGCTAAAGAGTGAAGGAAGAATTTACTCTTCTGTTTCTCTTTGATCCTTCCAGATCATCAAAGAGCCCCCCCCTCCTCCTGCAGAAGACAGCGAGGTGAGTAACACCATCAGCCTCATTTCCTTAGTGTTTGGGACAAGGCTTTGCTCAGACTCCTCATGAGAGGCTGGGATCAGTTAAACCTTTGTGCTCAGCTCTGTAGCCTTAAAGCCAACAGTGATTTAGCTAAGCTACAGGCTTTGTAATTGATGTCTACCACGTGTTTCACTCTGCTCGCTTTGCTTGCTATAGAGATAGAGATGTGTGTGTTTAGGAGTGACTGTAGATGAGGAATACAAGCACCTCCATTGAGCAGGTAGGGAAGGACAGCCAATACTTGGTACTGCAGGAATGACTGTAGATGTACAGTACAAGTACCTCCATTGAGCAGGTAGGCAATACTTCCACTTGGTACTGCAGAGTTAGGCTGTGATTCACAGAAAGGACAACCCTTAAGTCTACGTTGTTGAAGTTATGGAACCCAAACATGTGCTCATCTGCTTGGGAAGGCACAGCAATGATTTTGGTGGTTTAGCATCTAAAACAACTCTTGGCAGCGGAGTGGAAACTCACGATGCTGATCCCTTGGACCACAGTTGCTGTGGGTAAAGGCAGCCCCATGGTCTCTGCAATGTGTCTGAAGACAGTGGGCAGGAGTAAAACCATCCTGGCCTCAGAAGAGCTGCAGAGAGGGAAGTTTTACTAGAGAGAAGCAGTGAAGAAGCATTAAACCCATCTCAATTCTGCTTGTGCTCTTTAGGTCAATCTAACAACAAATGGCTTAAAGCTGTGTCACCAGTGCTCAGGTCTAATGTAGATTCTGCCCAGAAACACGCTCACTTCTTGATCTGCCTCTTCCTGTGGCCTCCTGCTTCCAGCACATGATGAGTCTCCTCTTCACTTCCACTGTTTTGCATGTGGGATTTCACTGCAGGTCCCTGGGCTGAGTTGCATTGATGTCAGTGGGAGCTTTTCCATTGACTTCACTGGGCTTTGGATCAGTTCCTCTTAACTATGCAAGTAAAAGAAGACTTAGACCTCTGCTCAGAGGGATTTGGTTGCTTCCCTTGCTTTTTGCATGTGGAGACAAATTCATTGCCTGCTTCAGCTTGCAAATGGAAAAGCTGGAATGATCCTCAACGTCTGCCCTTAGTGTCTGTGCCAAGGCAGGCAAACACCCTCAAAACTCAGCCCACATGCAATGCTCCATATGGAATCCAACCCAGCTTCTGCTGCAGAGGAATAGCTCAGGGCATCTGGAGCCCAGGCCAGCGCTAGAACCTGTCTTAGTGCCACTCATCCCCTTCAGCCCAGGCCAGAAGGAAACCTCCAAACCTGAGCATTCCTGGACCTGAGGGAGGTTTGCGTTTGGATCCAGTGCTCCCCATGCCTCTCTTTTGGGCTGTTTTCCAAGGTAGCCATTCCTCTTCGGGCTGTGTCTCAATCCACCAGCTTTGCTAGCTTCTGTGCTCTGAATGGAGAGGAAAACACGACCCCAGAGCTGCATATACTCCGCTGTGCATCACACACGCCTCCAAGCCAAGGGATCCAAGTGCTGAAGCTAATTAAAATGCATCCCTTTGGAATGCTGGCCAAGGGCTGCAAGGGGAAATTACAGCTCTGTGCTAAGAGGGCAGGAGCGTTTCAAGTAGAAGGAAGCCTTTTATCAGAGCAGTAAGTGCTGCACAAGCAAACCAGTTGCAGCACACCGGTTATGTTTGCCTCTGGTTACGTTGAATTAAGCTGGTGTGAAGGTATTTCTGGGCATGGTCTATGTGTGCAGCTCCCCAAATGCCTTAGTCAAAAGTCATCTGCTTCACAGCTTTCCTTTAGCTATGGGTTTCATAGGATCATAGAATGGTTTGGGTTGGAAAGGACCTTAAGATCATCCAGTTCCAGCCCCCCTGCCATGGGCAGGGACACCTCACACTAAACCATCTCACCCAAGGCTCTGTCCAACCTGGCCTTGAACACTGCCAGGGGTGGAGCATTCACAACCTCCCTGTGCAACCCATTCCAGTGCCTCAGCACCCTTACAGTAAAGAACTTCTTCCTTAGATCCAATCTAAACTTCCCCTGTTTCAGTTTGAACCCATTACCCCTTGTCCTATCACCGCGGTCCCTAACGAAGAGTCCCTCCCCAGCATCCCTATAGGCCCCTAATGGATTTGCCATCGGCTTTTCATCTGGGACTCACCTGATCTTGTGGGAACATGGGGCAAATCCTCCTTGTTTCAAAGCAGAACGCAGTTCTGCTTGCTCACTGCCTCGCTCCCCATAGGTGGTGGCCTAACTGCAGAGCAGGCTTTGGTTGTACCCAGAATCAGGCCCTGCACAGTGCCTGAAGAATGGCATTAACTCATAACCATTCTCCACCTGCTTCCTTGTTCATACAAGGGGAGTTCTATTTTAGCTTATTCTTACTGTTTTAGGACCCTGGAATGGTGAGTTTCGGTTATAACAACGTCACCAACACTGGAGGGACTGGTCTGATGGCAGGATTCCACATGTGCTTTCTACCGGAGCACATCCCCTCAGCTCAATCCAATCATAGCATCACAGCATGATTTGGGTTGGAAAGGGCCATAAGATCACCCAGGAGCTCCTGCCCATGTCAGGGGGATTGGAAGCAGATGATCTTAAGGTCCTTTCCAACCCCAACTGCCTGATCTCCAGCATAAGGAGTGCTAATCCCTTCAGCAGCAGCATGACACCTGCACTAAGATCATTTGTCTTTCACATCTCCCCAAAATCTTGGCAAAGAAAGAAAGAGAAGAGGAATTCTTGCCTCAGCAGGGCTGGGAGCTGAGGCCCATATGTCCTTGCACTGCAAGGAGAATGCATTATAGTGGAACAATGCAAGGAAAGGAGCGTTGCTGTCAAAGCTGCCAGAGGTCTTATGGAGCTTTAAAGGTCTTTTGAGACCTCCTGGAGTCACGTTCACTGTTGGTGAAGGAAACCATTATTGGATAGAGACTTCCAATGGGTTCATTCAGGAATTGTGACTGTTGTGAACTCACCTCCCCAGCGCAGGATGCTGGGGAGGGAAGCCCAGATGGTTTCACTTACAGCCAGGAAGGACTGAGTTAATGCCAATGGGAAGAGGTGGATGCTTGCAGGAGCCTGTGAGCACCTTTGTGGCCTGAGGTTAGTCATTGCTGGTGGATCAAACCCACATTCCTTTACCTCCAGTGAATAGGAAGGCTTCTGCTAGCTGCATTGGAGGAAGACATGGTTGCTTATTCCTGTGTCCCTTCACTTTCAAAACTGGGCTTATTGGAGCAAGTCCTCCTCAACTACAACCAGTTTCCGACCAGAAGATTGCCATGAAGCTGAAGCTGGTTCTCACTATAGCAAACCATCTTCTGCATGAGAAACCCCATCCTGCAGCGCTCTGCAGCATCTGGCACCTTCCTGGGCACTAGTAGTGACCCATGCCAGAGTCTGCTGCTAGTCAGAACAGACTCTACCTACAGTCAGAGGGCAAAGCCAGGCAGGAGATCTAGGAAGTGACCAGAGCCTCATCACTCAGACCTGTTTTTTCCCTGCTGCTCTGTCACCCAAGCAACGGAGTCACCCTTAACATGGCCCCAGAGCCAAGCCACCAACCAGCCTGAAACTGGGTAATTCCTCTGTCTGTTGTCGTCTTGCCCACATGCACCGAAGCAAACACGCACAAAGTCCTGGGGGGAAAGGAGTGTTCAGCAGCACAGACGTGAGATGCTGGAGGTGGTTATCACTGTCATGGGAGGCAGCATGAACAGGAAGAAGTGAACTCACTGCAGAGCAGCTGTTGTTAAGTCAGTACATGAAACCACCCGTCATAGAACCACAGCTTGGTTTGGGTTGGGAGGTTAATCTCCCCTCGGGCAGGTTAAAGCCATTCCCCTTGGCCTGCCCCTACAGGCCCTTGCCCAAAGCCCCTCTTCAGGTTTCCTGCAGCCTCTTTAGGCACTGGAGCTGCTCTAAGGTCTCCCCTTAAGGAGCCTCCTCTTCTGTGAGGACATCCCACACGTTCAGCTTGAATCACTTTGATCTCTGTGAACTCACCTCTGAACATTCATGAGGCCAGAGAATGGCTAAAAGGGGGTTATCTGCTCCTCTTGCTGCTTGCACCCCCACTTCTTAGTGTTTATGGATCTTTTCCCAACTGCTTTCCTCTCCCTTCCTAAAAAGCCTTGCTGGGGAGACAGCAAAACAAGCTCCAGAGAAAGGATCTGGAATGTTTTGTAGACACAGGAAATTCATTCTGTTATTCCTGAAGCAAAGCCAGGTCACAGTGGTGTGCCAGCTCCTTCCCTCCCCTCTGCTCCCCTTTCACAGGGAGTTGGGGAAGTATGGGAGGAGGAGAAATGAACCTTTCAAGGCATTTAGAATAGCATCATTGGGGATGCTATTGGCAACAGATGAGGTGTAGGTGTGACACCATGAAGGAGTGGAGTTTCATAGCTAGATTCACATGCAATACCTAGGCAGGCCCAAGCAAACTGCCGGTGTTGGGCTGTGGAAGCTGGGTTTGATCACATTGGAGATGCAGTGGGAGCACCTGGGTTAATTCCTTTGTCATTATGAGACCTTACTTCATCTTCGGGTAGCTCAGCATCTGAGCAATGGATGGGCGATAGCTCAACCTCCTTTCTTCTTCATCAGAGCATCTTCAGCCTGCTCCTTAGTAAAGCACCAGCAGAACATCCTCCCTCGGATGCTCGTGTGACCTGGCACTGCTTTCTGCTGGTAGTTTGCAGGCTTGGACCAGGGAGAGGCAGGGATACGAGGAACCCAAGGCGATGAACGGATGCAGTTGGGATTCAGATGCCTGGCACAGAGCAACAAGGAAAACCTTCCACCGCAGAGAGGAAGCTCTGGAGAGCCAAGCAAGGTGTCTTTAAAGGGTACCAGCACCTTGGCATCGGGGATGAGATTTAGACCAGATGATGGGATTTAGAACTGAGCCTGGTGTTTGGAGAACAAGGAGGCAGAGATGAGCCAGAAGCCTCGAGAGCAGCGCATTCACCTCCCTCTTTCCTCCGCTGTAGTTAGATGGTAATGTCTCTTCCCCAAAGGAATGACTGTCTTGTCGTGTCCGAGCTCTTTGTAAGTGCTAAACCCTGACAGCATCCAGGCAACTGCGAAAGCAATTAGAAGGGTGGGGAGAGGGGGAAGTATTCCAAGCTTTTTATTTTCATATCTGGCCAGATTCAGTTTGAGTCTCACCCCGAGTGGTTCAGATCTCCCCAGTGGAGCCTGAATTATCCCTGTGTTACCCACAGATGAGGTTCTCTCAGGTCAGGGTCAAAGTATAGAGCATGGAGATAAACAGAGACCTTTGTTTTCTGAACCCAGCAGCTCTGGAGCTGCAGCTCTTGACTGGGAACTGCGGCTCTGTCCTGCTTCTTCTGCTTCTTTAAGAGAAACTCTAGCTCCATCTAAAGCAGATTTTAGGGGTGGAAAGATGCCAAGTTCTGCACAGTCACTTTCCAGCATCCTTAAATGCACTTGAATTTTCCGGGGCTGGCTTTTATACTACTGCTGCTGGGTCAGAGCTGAGGATCCTTTTGCAGTTCTCCCTCAGGCAAAAAACCCCATTGTAGTGAAATGTAGCAAAATACGGGCAAAACCGAGCCAGGACGTGAGAATTCAGCCCTGGTTCATTGGCTCAGCCCTTGGGAATGGGGCAGAGAAGCTGTGGCTGCCCCATCCCTGGCAGTGCTCAAGGCCAGGTTGGACACAGGGGCTTGGAGCAAGCTGCTCTAGTGGAAGGTGTCCCTGCCCGTGGCAGGGGTTGGAGCTGGGTGAGCTTTAAGGTCCCCTCAACACAAACCAGGCTGGGATGCTGTGATTCCTTCACATTTCCCTGCTGCCTCTCTACTCCCTGACCCCCGCGTTCCCAATGTCTTCCCTTCCGATGCCCACGTGCGCTGCGAGCGCGTTTGCCAAGCGCGTAGGACATCACTGGTGGGGTTTTCTTCCTTTTTGCTGGTGTTGCAAAACCTCCCGTTGCCTTCAGAGCACGTAAACAGCCTCCTCCTGAAGGCAGCTTGTGACTCCTTTGTTTTCCATGTGTCCAGGGCTGCCTTTCTGTGCGTGTGCTCTTTCGGTTGTTGTTCTGGCAGGAGGCTCCTATCTCCCATTCAAGTGACTCGCACGGGGCTTTTAAGGGCTTGTGGGGAAGATTTCCTAAACCTTGGTATTTCCTGTTGTGAGAAGTCCGGTCTGTGCTGAGCTGCACAGAGAGGAAGGGAATCGCTGAAGGAAAATATGTGCATGGCTTCGATTCCTGCTTCTTAAAGAAGTCCTCATGGAAAACTTCATGCAGAGATATCAAGTTCTTGGGTTGCAGCAAAGGAGCCTCAGCAGCTCTAAGCAGAGGGAGAGAAAGGGCTCAGCTGGCAGGGAGAAGAACCTGGGTGTTTATGGCCCAATTGTTCACCCTTCCTTTCGAGCAGGACGCGTTTTGCACTCACTTAATGCGTATTCTGCAGAAACAGAAATGCTTTTGTTTGATGTGAGTTTGTCTTGGGTCTTCCCCCCCACACCTTTTCCAGTTTTCCTTCCATTCCCAAGTGTTTTTGGCTTTTTGGATTTTGGAGGTTTGCCAAATCCCGGTGAAAAATTGAAGAAAGTGGGGGGAAAAAAGAAAGGAGCATTTTTCATTTCTCTCCCCGTTTTCACAGGAAATACTTCACGTTTCTGATGAACTCTGCGTTTCTGCTTTGCCAGCTCATGGCCTCAACTGCAGGAATTAAAGGCAAAGGCACTGCTATAGGTCAGGGAATGTATGGAGCTGTTCTATAGTGCAACAAAGAGTGTAGAATATATAGAATCCTACATAGAATATATATAGAGTAGAATACATAGAATCCATCACCAGGACTTTAGATAGGCTCCTTAAGGAGATATTCTTGATCTCACTTGGCTGCGTGTGAATGTCATCGTGAAGGTCCTGAGCACGTTGAACTCTGTGCATGGTGATCGGTTTCTGCCTGCACTATGCAGGGGTAAACCACATCCAAACCTGTACACCACGTACATCACGTTCACGCTTGGCTTTCTGCTGCCATAAGCCATGACCCTCCCTGGAGCCCCATGGACTTCCATGGGCAGCCTCTTTAGCAGAGCTCATTCTTCTAAGAGCTCTTTCCATCCTTATAACTCTTCCATGAGACTTTTCCATCCTATTACCCTTGTCCATCTCATCTCAAAACGTTTCATCTCCCCGTTGGACATCCGCATTGGGGTTGTTTCCAAGTGTCCTCCTAATTTGCCTTCACTCAGGAGGAAATTTGCCTTGATTCCTTGTTTTTCCCCTTCCTTCTGTCAAATCTGAATGACCATAGGATGGTTTCACTGGAGGTTCCTCCCCATGGGGAACCTTGGTGCAGGGCAGAAGCTCATCTCTCCCCAGCCACAGGCACAAGCAAAGGAATGGCAAGGAGGAGGCAAGCCCCTGCTATCACCACTCATGGCTTGCACATCACCCAGCGTGCACCCCAAAGACCCCAGCTCTTGAGCTGTGCTGAGTAAGGGTTTGGTGCCTGCTTCAATGGGTTTGCAGCTCAGAGACAATTTACTCCCCTGGATTAAAGGATGATGAAAGACAGAGTCTCCTTAAGAAACACAAAACAAAGAGGGGGGTGTGTGAGTGCAAGGATCACGCTGGGGCTGGAGCTGGGCTGGACCTTTCAAGTGGTGGATGTTTATGTCATGAAGCATTTTCTCTTCATGAGTGTACATCCTCCAGAGAATCACCAGTGGAGACCAGAACCTTGCCTGGCCTGGTTCTAGCAGGCTCAGAGGACCACATAGCCTCTGGCTGTTTATTCCTTTCCATCTCTAGTCATGCTTCCCAACAGTGTAATCCCTTCCTTCTGTTTTGTAGGAGGAAGATGATGATGGCCTTCCGAAAAAGAAATGGCCAACAGTAGATGCCTCTTACTATGGTGGACGTGGAGTTGGTGGCATCAAACGAATGGAGGTAATTAGATACCAGTTTGTGTATCCAGAGACCTTACTGGTGTGCTATCCCCTGCAATTACCCAGCAAGAAACTCAGGAGACAGACAGGCACAAGCCCCTTTAAGCTTTTCTTTGCACATCTGAGCCCAGGTTATTTTTCATAGAGGGATATTTGGGAGCCAAACGTAGAATCCTCAAGTTTGGGACCGTCTTCTTTCCTTTAGTACAGTAGGATTCTGGCTAGAAACAAGCCTCATAGCATCGCTCTTCGCCTCCCATTTGGACACTGGGAAAGTATGGCCAAGGGATGCAGCAGCCACTCTTGTAACGTGCCCTGCTGCATCTTCTCAGGTGCGCTGGGGAGAAAAGGGCTCCACGGAAGAAGGTGCCAAGTTAGAGAAAGCCAAGAATGCCAGGGTGAAGATGCCAGAGCAGGAATACGAGTTCCCTGAACCCAGGAACCTGGCGAACAACATGCGCAGGCCTTCCTCTCCTCGGAAGTGGTACTCCCCCATCAAGGTAAGCAAAGCCTTGTGCAGCACGGGGTGTTTCTATGCAGTCTTAAGTGGTTTAAGGCTAAGATATAGAACTGACCACAAACCTGTGATCTCGAGATGCTGATGTGCATGAGGGAGTCCCTCTGGACATGTGCCTAGGGAGGGACTATAGGAAGGAGCTACATGGGGCAATGGGTATTTCTTACCAGGTTGGTGAGGTTTGGGGGTTGCGTTGCTTGCTTGGAGCAGAACAGGATCCTGAGCACTTCTGGTGGTGCAGCTAAGTTCAATGAAGTTCTTACATATCGACTGCACCTCCCTTTAGTCCACACTGCATATACCTTGAGATGGAGGGAATAAAGAGCATCCCTGGCAGTGTTCAAGGCCAGGTTGGACACAGGGGCTTGGAGCACCCTGCTCTAGTGGAAGGTGTCCCTGGTTGGAACTGGGAGAGCTTTAAGCTCCCTTCCAACCCAACCCAACCCATTCTGTGATAATATGAATTCATATCCAAGTGCAAACCTCACACCCCTGGAGCTTGGATCTCATTTCGAAGTGGAGATGCTGGTTAATGCCTTAGAAACCTTTAACAGGCAATTTATCTGCAAGTAGTCTGCAAAGAGGGTGTAGCATATGGAGTAAAGCTTTTGGTGTGCAGAGCTCACCTTAAACTTTATGCTGGGGCACGAGAAAGTGCCTCACTGCTGGAAAAGAGAGGGTTTATTCTCCTGTGTTCTTCCTCCCCAGCAGCATCTCTAGTCAGGCACACTCTGATAGCCAGGTTATTGCAGTGCGGATAGGCTACCTCGCAGTACACCCAGGTTTCCCTGTGTTGTAGCTGGTTACTGATCAGCTCCAAGCAGTGCCCATAGGGATTCCTAAGTCAGTCACATGTTTTGGCTCGCCTCAGTCATTGATCTTGCAGCTGGGTCAAATCCAGCAACGGGAATGGCAAGGATGCACAGGGGAGGAAGAGTGGTTTCCGGAGGATACGGAAATGTGAGCCTCTGAGAACCTGGTCCAGTGCCTTCTCTCTTTTCCCCCTTAAAGATTATCATCTACTAAACAGAGCTGACCAAGGAGTCATCTCAGTGGTGTCATAATGACTTCAACATGTGCTCATGGAGGTCTTTCATTCCCACATTGGGCCAGGTTCGAGAGTCAGTGTTTGCAGCTTGGAGTGGGAGCGCGCTAAGCACCATCCCGTATAGCTGCTCCCTTGTTCCTAAAGGCATCTCTTCCCCTTTTTGCAGCGGTGTGAAGCATTTGTAACGCACACTTTGTCCCACCTGGGGGATTTTTCACTCCCACTCTGTGCTCATGGAAATGACCTCATGGAGCTGAGAGACACAGCTCAGCGCCTGTTGCACGCCGCAGTCAGAAGGGCTCACAGCACACAGAGCTATACCTCAGTCCACCAAGGAGCTGCCAGAAACACTGATTTGAGCCCTGCAATCCACACGGGTACAACTACCTGAGATCATCAGCTCAGAGCTGGCTCCTTTCCCATAGAAGATAGTGCTGAGTTCCTCCCCTCTTCCTGCACCGGTTCATGCTGTTGGATTGCAGCCTCAGGAGAGCTCATTTGCAGAGGTTATTCTGCTCTGAACAGTTCATGGCAGATCTGTCTCCCAGCTGGAAGTTCCCTCGTGTCCAAGAGAGGCTTGGGGAAAAGATTCAATGCATGTAGGGTTCAAGTTCAGTTCTGCCTCTGCTAGGAACGGCTTTGGCTTTGTAACACCAAGAATTCACTCATAAGGAAGCTTACAAATATCAGGAGTATCTCATGGGTGATATTCCCAATTCCTTTAGTAATATCTCCTATCCACCATTCAGATTGCATGCAGTTCCAGTCCAAGAGCCCTTATCCAAATGCTCCCGTAACCCTGCAGTGTTCCACATCCGGGCAGGATTTAACAGCCTGTGGACAAGAATGTACCTAATTATTAATTGCCACCACCCCCCCCATTGAACTGCACCCAAAAGGCAGGGGATGCAGATGGGATAAAGCAGCCAGCGCTTTCCCCGTGAGCACTCATCAGATCCGGAGGGGATCATTCCTAGGAAGCAGGGGTCCTGCAGGTCCTCTCAGCAGGGAGGCAGCAAAGGCCATCAGCACTCGTGGCAGGAGCTCTTGCCCTGAAGATGTGAGCACGTGGAGAGGTACCTGCACTGTGTTATATGGGGAAGCTCAGCAGTCATCAGGCAGAGGGAGGTGGGGGGGCCTTTGGGACTGCAGTCCCAGCCAAGGCAGGACCGTGACCTTGAATCCATCCTGTATCTATGGCTTATAGATATATAGATGTATAGATATATACCTATCTATCAGAGGCTCCCACCACTCCTAGGGGGGAGCAGTTCACAGACTGCCTGACCTCACCCATAGGAAATGCCTCCTGAGAGCTTCGATTTGCCCTCATCCCCGTGCTCCAAGTGCACTGCTAGGAGCAGATGTTGACTTTCCACCCTCTCCGCTGAACTGGTTGGAAGACCTCTTTGGAAGGGAGATAAACACACATGTAACAGGTTACTTAAATGAGAGGAGGAAGGCAGACAATTAGATCTCGGGAGCAGGGAACCGGCGTAGCTTGGATCTGACAAAGAGCCAGGAAATTCACATTCTGGGGCCACTTGCAGGCCTCCTTTTCCCCATGCAGCACGAGTGCCAGCCTTTACTTAGAGCGTTCTGCCTTTTGCCAGGTTATCTGATGGAGTTTTACTTCCCTCTCTTTGTTACTCTTCCCAGAGTAACGCCTATAATGTAAGTAGAGAGCTGAGAGTGGGGAGAAGGCTGTTTGAAATGCTCCACAGATTTATTTGCTCCCAAGCGTGGCTGCTGACACCGAACAGATTGTGGTTGTTGTTACTGGTATGATTCTGATTTGCTGCTGTTACTTCTTAGCACGGTGCCAACGGATGATCCTGCTTTAAAAATACTATTGCAACAGACTGTAAAGTCAGTGCAAACAATCCAAGTCCTAAGGAGCTTGCCAAATCCTCCCTTCATCCTACAGAGGAAGGGGCAGCACAAAACATAGGTGCAAATGATGTCTAAAAACCAACGCAGAAAGGACCACAAGCTGCTCATCCCCTAAAGCTCACATGCAGGACCTGCCTTGAGGCTGAGGTTGAAGCAGCAACTGATGCTCTCAGAAAGAAACCTCAGGTGAATCCTCAAGCATTTACAAAGCCTTGTGTCCCTGGCCCATTTGCTAACCTTCTCCCTCCTGTCTCTCTTTACAAAGCTGCCATGCACAGCTTCCTACCTAGAAGAGGCCCAAGGGCAGCCCCTGCTTCAGGAAGAGGATGCATTCATCATGATAAAGCAATGGCTGAAGCTGTGCCCTCCTCCATTTGTCCTCTGCCCCGATTGTTCCTTCTTTCTGGAATTCATTCCCAGTAGGACTCAAAGCTTTCTTTGCTTCCAGACCTTTTTTTCCCCCCAAGGGACCAATTGCAAAGGAGCTCCTAAACAGAGACATCAGAGCATAGAGGTGTTCGTATTCCCAAGTGAATGCATTGCCATTCACATTGCTTCAGCCAACATCATCCTTTCCATGATCCACTCTCCCTTTCCTCCACCAAGATGTCCCAGACAGAGCCTGAAGCTCCATTCAGACTCCCAAAGATGGAGCTTTTCCCAAGAAATCTTGGTAGGCTCTTGGAAACTAGGATTGGAGAGTAAAAAAAGGGCTTTTTTGTTCCATGGAAAGTTGTATTTTTCCCTTTGGTTTCCTAAAGGAGAAATGGCAGCAAAAGGTATTTAGTTCTTAAGTTGTCAGAGGTGACAGGAGATCAAGAGCTTGAACCAGCTCTCATGTAAGGAGAAAGATGGATTGGGATGGACAGGGGTGGCTTCCCTCAAGTCTGAGGGGTTGTGCTGTCCAAGAAGAGGCTGACAGAGGAGTTGCTTGCTTCTTGCTTTGAGGATTACACTTTCCTGGCTCTCACCTTGGAAGTCTTTCCCCCAGCATCCTATGGAAATACCTCTATGCAGTCATTCTGCGTGTGTGTCTCCACCCGTGTATACCTCCAAATCCCAAACAAGCTTTGAACCATTGGCTCAACGCACTGGTTGAGGAATACAGGTCTCAAAGAGGATTACACTCCCAATGGCTTCTTGAAAAGGGGAAAGAAAGACTCTGTCCCCATGACAGGAAGAGTGCGCAGTGAATGCATTGAGTCTTTAGATACCGGAGAACCAGGGTCACAGAAGGATTTTACCAATCTACATCACCCCTCTGCCAGTTTCAAGCCATTCCCCTATTACCTTTGGGGGGTTTCAGAATACATAAAGACCCACGGATGCTGTTGGCTCTCAGCCATTCCTGCTTAGTGCTCCCTTAAAGCCTCTTCCTTTTCACCTGCAGCATTCACAGGTTCCTGTGAGGGAAAGCATCGACTCCAGCAGCTTGTACGAGCCCAGGCAATGGCTGAGTATCAAACACGTAGGTCTGAGCTGCGTACCTCGCACTTGTCCTTGCTCCCAAGATAACACCGTGTTCCTTTGGATTGCAGGGGAAGCTGGATGCTCTCTGGGTCCTGCTGCGGAAGGGTTACGACCGTGTGTCTGTGATGCGCCCACAGCCAGGAGACAAGGTACCGTGCCTTAGATAACACAGACTTGGATGAGTCTTGCTTGGATAACATAGCTGCAGCCAAGTAAGACATCCTTCTAAGGAACAGTAGGCAATATCCCTGCATATTTTCATTGATTAAACTCATATCCTGGAATAAAACTCTCAATGTACGTGAATGCTACATAAATTCAAACTTTCTGGGCACTTGCACAAGGCAAAGTTTGCAGAACGGGGTTTGCTGTGTGAGAGGGAGGAAGTATTCCCATCTGTTGCTAGTAAAAACTGGCTTCATGCAAACTTCCATCCATTCATGTACGCTGATTGTGGGTGGAAACAGAAGCCATTGAAGAGAACAGGCTAATGCCACCTTACAGGAATGATGCTGTCTGTGGCAGCAGGACACTAAAGGGCTGCAGCTCATCTCCAAGGTAGCAATCTCCTCTTCAGAGGTATTAAACATCAGGGTGCTTCCTGATCAATACCAGGACAGTTCCTGCCGTCTCTGAGCACTGAAGTGACCAACACACACCCAGGGGTTGTGTGTTCAAGGCACACAATGGGGGTGAATTGAAATCCCTCCGGCAGCCATAAGACATCCCCTAACTCCCTGCAATTCAGATGCCTACACCCCCGTATCCCAGAGCTGTTCCCAATCCCCAGTTTTTGATATCTTTAAGGATGGAGATTCAGAGGTTTAATTATTTATTTCTTTATTATTTATTTCTTTATTATTTAGTTATCTATTATTTAGTTCTTTATTATTTAGTTATTTATTATTTAATATTACTATTCCTTCAGAGGGGAGACTTGCTAAAATGTCTTTGCTGAGTGTGATGGTGATGTCTGGGAGAGAAGCTCTCATAGCACACACTGCCACTGCTTGATGATTCCCCCCAGGAATCTGGGACTGAAGAATGCCTGTGGTGTCAATCACTGTTTTCACTCGACCAGCTGAGATTACTCACATGAAAGATGCCCCTGGGGAAAACCCAGAGCTGCTCAAGTGAAGCTGACTGAGTGAAGAGCAATTTCACAGTGCTCGAGGCCAGGTTGGACACAGGGGCTTGGAGCAAGCTGCTCCAGTGGAAGTTGTCCCTACCCATGGCAGGGAGTTGGAACTGGATGAGCTTTAAGGTCCCTTCCAACCCAAAGCATTCCAGGCTTCTATGATTAGTGCCACAGACAGCAGGCTCCATCCCTTTCTGGTGCTGTACCTCTCAGACATGTGGTTCTGTGTCCTGCAGCATAAGCAATAGCAGCATTAGCCCCTCCAGGTGTTACATGATCCAGCTCCAGACTAAACCAATCTCTTTATGACTCTGTTGTGCTATAAAGGATCTCTGCAAGCATCGTTCTGTGTGAAAGAGAAGCTGGCTGCACGTGCACCCGGGTTTATAGCTGCTAAAATCCCTCTTGCTGTCCCGTAACCGGCTGCAGATGCTGGGGGACCCTCCTGTGTAGATGGGAAGCGCTGCTCACACTTGCTGCTCTTACAACACGGGTTTGCCTTCGTGTCAACCAAACTCTGAGCCTGTTTGGCTTTGGCTAAGCACGGGTGACCCTCTTGCTGCTTTAAATCACTGCCAGGTTCGATGCGAGCCATTCATGTTCATTCCTTCCCAGCAGTGGCAGTGCTGGTAAGGTGATGTCACCCCGACAGCAGAGGCAAACCCAACATGAGTAAAGCATGGACAAGGCTTCCATTAGCTTACACAGCTGAAGGGGCAGGATTAGGCAGGGCTTTCAATTCCCTTGCTCAGCAAAATGAGGGGGGTTTGTTCCCCTCCTTCAGACCTAAAGAAGAACCTGGCTTTCAAGCACTGGGTTCAGCTTTGCTCTTTCTGAGCCATCTCCCATCTTGCTGCAGATGTTCCCCATGATTTGGGTGCTAGATTTACGCCTGTCCAACCTCACTGTCCCCTTTGCAGACACCAAGTGATTGTGCTGGAGCTGGGCTGCAGCTGGGCCTTGGGAGCCAAAGCAGTCAAAAAGAGAAGCAGAAAGTTGCCCCTCACTAAATACAGAGACACCCCAAGCCCTGTTTGATCCCTGAACCCTGCCACGCTCCCTCCATCCATCTCTGTGCCACTGCTCCTCAAAGAGGATTGTAAATGGATGCCCAAACCTTAGGCTCCAAAGGAAGGCTGCCTGATTCAGGCTCCTTCCAGGCTGGTGGCCTCTCCCCAGATCAGCAAACATCAAATATTAGCTGGTAAAACACATTAGTGCTTTGGTGGGAGTGGAAATCCAGTGGGGAGGTCGGTGCTGAATGATGGGGGTGGCAGCATGGACACATCTGGCATGCAGAATGAGGCCGTTTGGCCTGGATTTAGTTATTCCTGCTGGAGGAGATGCTAAAGGACAGCAGTGCAGAGGACATTCACACCCAGGCAGCCCTGCACATTCACACACAGCCACTGAGACGCTCCCCAGCCCATGTGCTCCTGGTGTAGGGTTTGCCAGCAGGATAGAGCTGTAACAGTTGTTTTGGCAGTGGTGAGCTCAGCTCTAAATTCCTGTGGCTTCTCCATGTGATTCCTAATAGCTCCTTTGGACCAGGGACACAGCAAGGACAGGCTTGATCCTCACCAGGCTGCAAAACCTTCAGTGGCGATGCTGCAGGCTTTCATAGCTGTCCATTGGCAAGTCTGGATTTGATCCTGTTCTATTGGGAAGCGAAGGTAAAGGGGTGCTCTGCCCAGCTTGGCAGCAAAGGGGCCCATCAGAGCAGGTATGGACAACCCCAAGCCTTTAAAGTGGAGGCCCAGATGGTCAAGACCACGCTCTCATGCCCGCACTGTCAGCGACACACAGGCTGGAGCAGCCCTTCCAGCATGGATGTGCCCTGGGAATGAGAGAAGCAGGGACCAGCAAAGCATCTTAGAGGAACCAGCAGGCTCAAATGGAGCCAGCTGCTTAAGAACCCACCACATGATGCATTGTGAGGCTGGGTAAAGAGTCAGACCCTGGGATTTATACACAGGGGGCTTTGACCATAAGATATGCCTGCAAGCTACAAAAGGAGCTGTTTCAGAAGCAATTTGTACCCCTTCCCTTCTCTTTCCTGAAGAAAAGAAGGCAGCACTTTTCAGACTCCATGGTGTCGAACGGGCACCTTAATTCACTCACTGGTCAACATACCAGATGAACAATCACTGAAAGGCATCTCTGTTTGCTTTGGAGCCTGCAGAGGACTTGGACGTAGTCCCAGGGTTACATCATTTTCATATAGAAGCAATCCCTTGCTATAATCAGTTACTTTATCCCTTGCCAGCACATGAGCTGAGCTGTTCAGAAAGATCCCTTGGAACACGGATCCAGCTTCAAACACTGGCTCGACTAATGAATGCTGTTTGTCTGCTGGAGCCCACGCAGCCTCCCAGGTACCATCCACACTGTCAAGAAGGATGTCCTGAAGTCCCCTTTAGTCTCTAACAGGACACTGGTTCAAGGGCAATGACTGATGTTTGCAATCTATATACATTGCAGTGGATAATGTGGGTATTGAAGCTGCGTGACCCCAAAGAATCTCTTTGCCTCTTGTCTGTTCTTGCCCTGAAACCTTGAATCAAGGTTGAGATGCCTTGAAAGAGAGCTGCAAAGGGTACAGATATAGAAATACATGTAAAGAAGCACAATATAGAGCTGTTGGAGTGAGGCCATGGAGATGCTGCGAGGGCTGGAGCAGCTCTGCTCTGGAGCCAGGCTGAGAGAGCTGGGCTGGGGCAGCCTGGACAAGAGAAGGCTCCTGAAGGGGAGACCTGAGAGCAGCTCCAGTGCCTGAAGGGGCACAAGGAAACCTTGGTCTGCTTTGTTGAAGGCTTTTAAAGATGCCTCTTTTCTCCCGAAGCAGAAGGAAAGGAGAGGGATGCTCAGGACGAGAGAGGCTGAGATGCACTAAAAGGCTGTGGAAACTCTTTTTTCTTTGGAGTCAAACCTGGCAGTGGCCTGAGGTTACCAACAGGCACAGATGGTTCCAATAAGGGGAGGAAGTCAGAGTCACATGGGATTCCTGTGGTCTCCTCGCATTCCCAGGAGCCTAGGTTTGCATTCTTGTCAGCGTTAATGGGGTTATTTTTACATCTGAACCATCATCACGTTGGGGTGATGTAAAAATATATCTCTTTTTTCGATCACCTTATCGCTATGAGAATGGACCAAGGCAATAACTAAGCCCAGGAGCCAAATAATCACATTGTCTTCAAAGCTGAAGCTGCATTTCCTTGGAAAACATTGTTGTGTCAGGAATTGATGAGATTATCCAAATGTGTTCCAGGCTCAGGCTTGGCCAGGAGCTCGCAATCTGGGAGCAAATGATGTTTTCATCGTTATTGCATTGCAGGAATTGTGTTTCCATTTTGTGTTTGTCAAGGGAAATACAGGAATAGGTGGTACAAATGTGGAGAAGAAGTAGCGCAAAACCACATGTAGTTACGTGGAAAGAGGTTACCTACCTCAAGTAATGGATCCCAGAATCCCAGACTGGTTTGGGTTGGAAGGGACCTTAAAGCTCATCCAGTTCCAACCTTCACCCAATTCCATCTTCCACTGGAGCAGCTGGCTCCAAGCCCCATCCAACCTGGCCTTGAACACTGCCAGGGATGGGGCAGCCACAGCTTCCTTGTGCAACCCGGGATGAAGATGCAGGGAAAGGAGCTTTCCCCAGACCTTGTTGAGTTTTGCATGTTGCTGGTGCAATGATGTGAGCTCAGCTCTCAGATCTCGGTGATACAGTTCGGGTACAGATTGTGGTCAGCTGTGACAAGAGGATGAGGCTACGAAGTACATGAACGTGTCCCCATTACAGTAATCCCAGTGGTTCTTTCTCACTATGAAAGGAAGAACGCGTGTGTATGTGCATGTGCTGACATAAAAACTTGCTCTGAATATAACCAGAACAGGCAGAGGATGAAATAAGCCAAATTCACAGCCAAAGAGCATGAATCTTCCTGACAGAAAAGTGCTGTTTGTGAACCCAAGCTCCCAAAGCTCCCTCTGCCCCTCAATGCCCTACTCGTG